AAGAAGAAGAAGAAAAGAAGAAGAAGAAGAAGAAGAAGAAGACGAAGAAGACAAAGCAGACAAAAAGGAAGATTAAAAAGACGAAGAAGACGCCGACGACGAAGAAGAAGGAGAAGAAGGAGAAGAAGAGAAGAAGAAGCAGGAGAAGAAGAAGAAGAAGAAGAGAAGAAGAAGAAGAAGAAGAAGAAGAAGAAGAAGAAGACGAAGAAGACGAAGAAGACGAAGAAGACGAAGAAGACAAAAAGGAAGATTAAAAAGACGAAGAAGACGCCGAAGACGAAGAAGAAGGAGAAGAAGAGAAGAAGAAGCAGGAGAAGAAGAAGAAGCAGAAGAAGAAGAGAAGAAGAAGAAGAAGAAGAAGAAGAAGAAGAAGAAGAAGAAGAAGAAGAAGAAGAAGAAGACGAAGAAGACGAAGAAGACGAAGAAGACGAAGAAGACTAAGAAGACGAAGAAGACAGAAAAGAAGATTAAGAAGACGAAGAAGAAGGAGAAGACGAAGAAGAAGGAGAAGACGGAGAAGAAGAAGAAGCAGGAAAAGAAGAAGAAGCAGGAGAAGAAGAAGCAGGAGAAGAAGAAGAAGCAGGAGAAGAAGAGAAGAAGAAGCAGGAGAAGAAGAAGAAGAAGAAGAGAAGAAGAAGAAGAAGAAGAAGAAGAAGAAGAAGAAGAAGAAGAAGACGAAGAAGACGAAGAAGACGAAGAAGACGAAGAAGACGAAGAAGACAAAAAGGAAGATTAAAAAGACGAAGAAGACGCCGAAGACGAAGAAGAAGGAGAAGAAGAAGAAGCAGGAGAAGAAGAAGAAGCAGAAGAAGAAGAGAAGAAGAAGAAGAAGAAGAAGAAGAAGAAGAAGAAGAAGAAGAAGAAGAAGACGAAGAAGACGAAGAAGACGAAGAAGACGAAGAAGACAGAAAAGAAGATTAAAAAGACGAAGAAGAAGGAGAAGACGAAGAAGAAGGAGAAGACGGAGAAGAAGAAGAAGCAGGAAAAGAAGAAGAAGAAGCAGGAGAAGAAGAAGAAGCAGGAGAAGAAGAAGAAGAAGAAGAAGAAGAAGAAGAAGAAGAAGAAGAAGAAGAAGAAGAAGAATACGAAGAAGACGAAGAAGACGAAGAAGACGAAGAAGACAGAAAAGAAGATTAAAAAGACGAAGAAGAAGGAGAAGACGAAGAAGAAGGAGAAGACGGAGAAGAAGAAGAAGCAGGAAAAGAAGAAGAAGAAGCAGGAGAAGAAGAAGAAGAAGCAGGAGAAGAAGAAGAAAAAGAAGAAGAAGAAGAAGAAGAAGAAGAAGAAGAAGAAGAACAGTGGCCCTTTCCTGAAAACCTCCAGGTGACGGCACCAGGTGACTTTGCCCTCCAAGGTGGTTTCACCGGAGCCGGCGGAAGCGCAAAAGGGCTTGACGGGCTTTTTCTGGGGCAGTTGCATCTGAACCGGGATCGTCTCCCAATTTGGAGGGCTTTCCTTTGCTTTCCCAGAGGCTTGGATCACAAATGTTTCATCGCTCCTCCGGATTGACCAGAGGTATTTGCCGTTTTCAGGGCAGTATGAAATCTTTTTGAGGAAGACCCTCTGACTTGCACGAGCATTGGGAATTTCTCGAAGTTGATATATCTGAAACCGCAGGCATGACATGTGTAGCACGTTGGGGATGCAGCTTGATTGTAGCTGACCCACATGGCAAGCGGAAAGAATCCTTGAGCTCTCAGCGTCTAAGGGAACATTCGGCGTCAATGTCCACATTGGTGAACAGCGGTGATGCCACATGTGGCAATTTGCAATCAGACTGAGCTGCAGGAGAGACTCATGTCTCCGGGAGAAAAAAACAACCTCATTTGATGTAGCTAGTGAAAGACATACCGTACTGGCCAATTTCTCATTCAAGGTGTGCCTTGCTCTGGCGTGGGAAGCCAATGGCTACAAACTCTTTCAAAGCACCGCACCAATTGGCCGTTCCAGCGGCAATGGCCCCCCAAGAGGTTCTGTTGGGTCAAGATCAGATCTCTGGCTCTATCGATCAGCTTACGACCTTGCTAAAAGACTTTTAATGGGAAAATAAGTGCTTGCTTTCATGCCCACACGGTTCCAACTGGAAGGGATTTGCTTGGAACGTCCTCAGGTTCCTCCTGCTTGCCACTTCCGCTTTGGCTCAAGGATCCCGGACTGCGCACAGCGCATGGCGCGGCTCGCTGAGAGTTGAAGCGTCACCTGTGGGCTCCGCGCAACTGCTCCTTTCACGGAGCAAAACGCACGTGGAAGGGTCTGGGAGTTATGGGGGTCCAAATGGAGCGACGAGCGATCACCAACATGTCATTGTTTCGCTCCCAAGAACCCGACGCTGCCTTGGTTCGCACAAGGTCAACAGTTGGCAGGTCGCACTGAAATTGAAGATGCGCAGAGGCAGCTGCAGAAGGGGTGTAAGATGGACAGTATATGCGAATCCCATTGCGATCGTATCGGGACCACCTCTACTAAGCGCCCCAAAGACACGGCTCAAGGACAGGGGAGGAGCATTTGCAGGGATAGGGCTGTGTCCTACATTCTTGGTTCTCAAGAGTGTGCTTTCAAAGAGCACAACAGGGCCACCAAGAAGGTAGTCAGAAGCCCCACATCATGTTTGTGCTGTTTGCCTCTCCAGCTGCCAAGGGTGCAGTCATGCTTGCAGCGGCCTGCGACTTGGGTTTGCCTCGGACAGAATGGCCTCAAAACGCTGGCCACGCTCAGTGCGACATGATTGGAGAGGGACATCAAAAGAAATCCTTCACTTGCAGGTCTTCCTCATTAGTGGAATAGTGCTGCAACAAGCAGCAAGACGTGCCTTCTAGATGACCAAGAGGATTCAACTCGGCCGGGTATGTTATGGCAGCAACGTGGTGCCAGATTTCATGTCAGGTGCACTAGTTGTACGTTGTCCCACACTTTGCTCTTCAAGTTGGTCGACTTGCTGTCTTTTTGAGGAAGTAGCAAGGCCATGAACACTCTCCTTAGTTCATCCACTAGACTCTTGAACAGTCAGTCACCCATTATCATTGGGCCGAGAGACACGAACATCGTCCTTGAACCCTCCCTTTTGGAATGACCACGCCCTGTCCGAAAAGGTGCGGTCAAAGCTGTAAGCGGCTTCCACGAGTCCCACCTTTTGGGCCCTGGCTTCCAAAGGACAGGAGCGCCACGTGCATCACACTGCCGGTTTCCTGCCCCCAAATGGGGGATCTCTGGACCTCCAGGTGTTTGTGTCGCAAACTGCGGGACATGGCAATGAAAGTATGTTGTGCCATGCAAATGTGACTCGGGCATCCCAACATGCAGCGAATCAACTGAAACTCCAGTCCGTGCTGTCAAAGGGCTGGCGGTGCTTGAGCATGCATAAGCGATATAGATTGATCCCCCTACCCGGGCGAAGCATGGGTAATCCTCTGGAGACTCTTCCCAACTGTGACCATAACGTCTCCCTATCAGTGGAATGTCAAAAGGGCCGTAAAGATCCAACTGCGCCTATCCCAAACAAACACATGTGTAATATATATATATATATTGACAATTGTGATCTTCGAGATAGAGATTGGGCCAAGGTGTCTTGTCGCTTGAGACCGGCCGCGGCGCACCTAAGACCGAGGCTCAGGCGGGTCATGTGAGAGCAGAACAAAGACCAGTTGCTCTTCACGGTATCTTGGTGCCTGAGATTCACAATAAGGATCAGCACTTCCGATCCAACAAGCTGGAGGTTCCTCATTTTGATTGCTTGAGGTCGAGAGGCGGCATGATGCATTTGCCAGATCAAAGCAGAGGGAGGCTCTGAATGGCCAGTTGGACTTTGATGCCAGGGTTGCTCTGTGGTGTGCTCCTTGTGTACAGGTCATGCTCTGGACAGGCATGGTTGCGAGGGGGGCGGGGGGTGGTGGGCATATGGCAGAAGCCTTCTTTCGTCACTCTCTAGAGGCACAGCTGCAATAATTGTATGAACCAGGTAAAAGTCAGCAGCCCTCCTTGATGACCTGAAAGATCCTCCGCTTTGTTTGGTCTTTTCAGGTGTGGAGTGTGCCTGAGGGACCTGTTTCTGTTGGCTTGACTGCAGTGTCTCTGAGTAGTTTGAACGCAGGCTCTATTTGCACAGAACGAGGCACTGACTGACTGACAGGCGGTCAAGACACCCCTCCAGAAGCTGGCCGCGCGGGAGGCGACCTGAGTCAGTTTTGGCAATCTGGGTATGGGTCAAAAATAAACCACCAGATCGCAGGTTTGAGTCGTCCTTTCCATTTGCCAGGGTTCCATTTTGGGTACCTATTGTTGACCAGCCATTTGGGCGCCCCGAGTGAGCCTACGCTGCTGCGTGGCAGTTGGACACAGCCAAGGTTTTGAGGAAGCTCGGCCGGAACCGTTCTGGCCCGTACATCACGCCTTTTTTCGGTTACGAGGTCTTTGCCATAGTGCGGCGACGCGTGGCCTCTGGCTGGTGGGATGTCCGGATGTCCCAAAAGCACCATGCCCATCCATGGCCACAAGCGTCACAGCCTTTCTTTCCGTGGGGAGACTACGAAATTAGCACAAGAACTGCTTTTGTTTCCCACGTTGGAGAGTTGATCCACATCAAGCCAGAAGCACATTTGGGCACCCCTTTGCCTTGTCCCCAGGAAATCAGGCAATTCGGCCACTCGGCCCATGCCTCACAATTCATGTGGCAGAGTCGCCTTTTGTCCTTTCTATCGCCGACCCGTGTTTCCTGTGTTCAAACACGAAGGGCTCCAAAATGAAATGCAAGCTTCGATTCGAGGCTCGAAAGTGCAAGCGCCAAGAATACGCGAGCTAAGTCCCAAGCTGTTGCGTCCCGAGAGTCACCCGTTGGTTGAGGTTCCAAGCCTAATATATAGTCGTGTTGGGGGCTGAGAGGCGGCCGGCTCCGGTTGGATGCGCCGCGCGCCTGCCTTTTTGGCGAAGAACAGCTTGCTTTTTCCCAAGAGGCAATAAAGGAGTTCCTCCGCCAGCCGTTCCTCGCAAGGGTCCATTGATGGTGGGTAAAGCTGGTCCTTCCTATGTTTCCCAGTGAGAAAAAGCAGGAAAAAGATGGATCTGCCATGAGAAAGGCAGTTCATCGCCTGCCCGCTTGCCGCCAGCCGTGGGGCTCTGGCGCTTGTGTTGTGACTGGAAGAAGATGCTGCCAGCCCTTTTGAGCTTGGCTGTGGCGGCATCTTGGCTTGCAGTTTTGGCTGGCCTGCAGTTTGAAGTCCTATCTCAAAGCAAGGATCACACAATGACTGCATTTGCATGCCCGAAGCTTTGTTTTTTGGGGATCCGTTTGTTTGGACAGGTCTTGGTTGCCCTGGCTGTGGCCAACTTCGGATTTGCCCGCAGCTGCGTGCGTGAAGGCTGTATCTTGTGTCAAGAAACATTTACCAAAGCCACGGCAGTGATGAATGGCTCACAGCATTGGTGAGAGAGCCACCGCACCGGGGTTTGCTTCCAGGACCACCCCTTTTGCTCCTGTTCTGTTTGTGCTTTTCGCCTCTTGCCTTTGGGATGCCAACAGACGCTGATCATCCGCCTGTATTTCAAGCTGACGGCCCATTTGAATGCTTCTTGTGTAGCACATATTTTTGGAAAGGTTCCGTCAACTCCCAGATTCTAGATTGCCTACTACTTCTAAAATATGCATTAGCTCTATCATGCGCAAACTAAGTTCGGTGAAGCTCAGGGATCTTGAAGTATCTGTCCAGCGGCGCAAGCGGAAACTTGGAGTCATGTCGATTGTGAGTCGTCTCCGAGTTGAACCTGGTGGCAAGCACATCTTCGCTTGGTTTCCCGAGGGTTCTGACAGGCAAGAGGTTTTGCCAATGACATTCCAATCACAGCCATAAATCATATTCCACCGAAACCGCTCTTGCCCCACAGAAAAACAACATCTACTGAGCTCAGTCCGACCGGGGGGTGTGGGGCTTGGCTTTCCGGAGATCCGTTTCGGTTGGTTTTTCTCAAGGCGCAGGGGCAGCGCCTGGTGATCAAGAACAGCTGCGACACAGAGTGGCTCGGTTTTGGCATGGCTCGTAGGCCAAAGGATTCGGCGCTGGGAAGAGATTAGTTGGATCTGAATGTGGAAAGGGAGGGCCGATTCGCCGAAGGAGCACTTGCACTGGACCATTGGGGGGGGGAGCGTTAGGTCGTGTGTGGGTGAGTGGGTGAGTGAGGTGGGCCGGGTTTTGGGGACTTTGCTTGTCGGTAGGAACCCCGCAAATGTAAGTAAGGCAATCTACTTTCGCTTGGTTTTGGGTTGTTTGTGAGCGACAGTGAGCAATCGGTGTTTCCTCAAAACAATAAGCGGTGGCTGCCAAGATTCACATCTTGGGCCACACCTGTTAACTAGTAACAGGTTTCCTAGTGCTTTTACCCTCAGTCATGGCAGGTAAACTTGAAACACACCTGGGCAATTGTGCATGTTGAAACCTGTCTTGCGCAGACCGAATGACTGGTGACACGACGACCCCTGTGCGCAACAATGGGCCCTAGATGAAGTGAAATTGGCCAGAGACCCCTTGGGGCACTACGCGCGAGATGATCATTGATTTGAGTTGCTCATTCTTTGTATCGCTAAACAAGTTGCCTATAAGCTGCAAAACAGCTTCGCCGTTTGCGGGGAGTCAGATACCAGCCCAACAACCAGGACTTGCTACAAGTTTGCCTATAGGCTTATGCGCAGCCACAAACAAGAGCAAACGGAGCTGAAAAAGTTCAGCCGAAAAGCCCCACATTCAGGCGTGGGCAACGCTACGCAACTTATTTGGGACGGATTTGCTCGAACATTTTCCTAAGGCATAGAACCTGACATAGTCTGGTCTTCTTGCTTACTGAACCAGCCGTGCTTGCAGCTTTCAGCTCCTAGGCCGCTATGGATTGCCCATGAGGCGGGAGGCGGTGTGGGCCCCGACGACGCGCGGCTCAAATTCGGCGTCAAAAGGCATCGTGCCGACCCGTTCGTCCAGGTCCAAACGGGTTTCTAGTTTTGATTTGACACATCCCAACGTGGCAAAAGTCAACAATAGCAAATCCAGTCGAGCATGACCGATGTGTTTGATCAATAGCGCCTTCTTGGCCATTAGTATCGACTCATTTTTCTATTGCAAGGATTCTTGGACGATATTGCCTTGAGACAAAGTATCATGAGTAGAAAATAGAATTTGAGGACGATTTGGCGCGAAAGCATTTTTCGCAAGGTTTGGGATTTTTTCAGCACAGCCCCTCCCCCCCAACTATCTTTAGACTGCTGTCTCAGATCTCCACTGGTGCTTTTTTGTTTTTGTCCCGGTTGCGTGTTAAGACGCTGTGCTTTGAGGGGCAGTGCCACTGATGTTTTCAGCTTTTCAGTGTGGGTCCACTCAGAAGAGTCCACGATGGGAAATGCCCCAAGCAGCCCTGGTGCGGAGTGCCGGTCTCGAAGGTTCCAATGCTGCGTGGAGACAATGCTTAACGGATTCCAGGCTTCCGGCTTTCAACTTGTATGTTTGCAAGCGAACTCTACACCTAACCCGGAGACAGCCACTGGCTTGTGGGGTTCTAGGGTGGGTCAAGCTGGGCCAGCGCAAACCAGCAGAAAGCTGACCATCTAGAAGGTGTCAAGCATCTGAGGAGCAGAACCTCAAGATCGAGCCGGGAAAGTCCTTCACTTTCACCACGCCTGACAACCTGAAGGCGTGCCGCTCTTCGGGAGGCAGTCAGAGGTGGGGGATGTCCATGGAGCGTTGTATGAAGCGGAGGGTTCATCCTAGTCCCGGATGAGCCGCAAAAGCTGGGGTGTTATGGGTCACAAAAGGCCACAGGGCCAGTTCTGAGTGAAAAAACCAAACAGCATCTTAAAAGCGAGGTCGGGGGTGGTGTGTCTGCGTGCGTGCGCGCGTGCGTGCGCGCGCGCGCGCGTAGCGCAGGGCACGGGCGACGTTCGCGGCGTGCGTGCGTGCGCGCGTGCGCGTGTGCGCGTGCGTGTGGGTGCGTGGGTGGTGGTGGGTGGGTGTGGGGGTGGGTGGGTGGGTGGGTGGGTGGGTGGGTGGGTGGGTGGGTGGGTGGGTGGGTGGGTGGGTGGGTGGGTGGGTGGGTGGGTGGGTGGGTGTGTGTGTGTGTGTGTGTCTCACCTTCGCTTCCTGAGTGAATCACAGAGCTGATTCTTGCCTGCATTGCAGGCAGGACGGAGTGCTGCAGTTTATCATCCTCGAAGAAACAGCGGATTGACAAAATGACGGCCCTTTCTGTGGGTATCTTCCCAAGGCGGAGCACCATAGCGCGGAAGGAGGCCCTAACAAGGCTCTTCTTTGTCCATTGAACGTGGCCATGAAGCCTGTTTGCACAGGCCCCCGACTGCTTTCCCGCACCCGCCTGAGGCGACGAGGTATTGGCCGAAGATGGGTTGCGACTCTGACGGGAACAAGTGCCAGCTGGGCGGAAGTGGAGGTGCCTATGGTTGGCTCGGTCATGCCAGCAGCCCTTCGCATTCTTTTTGTCTGCAGCTAATTGGTTTTCTCTCCCTCTAGAACCAGCGCTGCAGTTGCTCGAGGCTTTTCTTTTCCTGCTCTGTTCATCGGACACACCAAGCCGGTGGATTAACAAGGTGGTGCTGCGTGAACTCAACGAAAGCACGAGTTGCTTCTGCAAGGGGGCGACCTCTGATTCTGATGATCGACCAGAACATTGCTGATTTGGGGTTTCACGATGGGTGCTATATTATTTGCGGAGTGTTCCCGCTGGATAGTCTTTCTTTCCCATCGCCACCTGGCAAGCAAGCAACCTTCCTGAAATCCACCCAAGCCCTAAACCACCCTAACCCACCGCAAAACGCCTGCAACCCAACCCAAAGCCGACACCAACCCTCTTCTCGCCCAAGTAAAACCCTAAGGCAGCCACCCCAAACGCACCTGAGCGGCGCTCAAAATCCTACGGCGAAACCTAGTCGTGGGGTGCCAAACTAAAATTCCGCGGGAGGATTCGTTTGGGGCGCGGAAGCTCGCGGAAGCTCGCCTCACGGATGGCAAACCAAATGAACAGCTTATTTGGCTCGAGCATTTTTTTTTCGGTGCCGGGTTCTTGGAAAAATGCAACTTGCAAGTCAATCTGTTTGGACCAAACAAATCGTGTTTATTGCGCCCCACACTCCAGGTAAACTAAGCACCAAAACCCAAACCAGGGAAGAATCGAACCCTTGCGCCTGAACAGGCACTCTGGATCGGAGTTAGTTTAGGGAATCCAGAGACTCTGTCCGAGTCTTGTGGCAGCGGGTGCGTGAGGTCCATCAGAGATCTGCGACACGAAGCTAGGTGGCTTGCCCGCAGAGAGGTGCTCCTCTTGTCATTTCCACTACGCCAACACCACTAGCCCAGGAGAGAATCGAATACGCTGCCGCCTCTGGAAAGGCATGTCCCCATGATGGGGGATAGGGGTTTGAAACTGGAGACCCTCTTAGAATTTTGCCCTTGACTCCTCGCAAATCCAATTTTCCAGCATTGTGCTTGTTCATTGGTTGAACCATGGCGGGTCGCCAAACCACTCTCTCTTCAAAGGGGCAATTGCGGCTCCCTGTGTGGCGCCTATTTGAAGGTTGTTTGCGGGGGGGGCCATACTCAATGTGAGTGTGTTTTAATCAGAGCCATGACCATCTACCAGGACTCTTGTCAAACCGCGGGGCCACGCTTCCCTTGGTTTCCGTATGTCTCTATGTGGGTGTGGCTTAGAATTGAACAGGAGGGGTTACGCAGGTCTTGGTCCATGTTTCCACTTACCAGGGTTCCATTTTGGTACCGTTTTTTTGAGCCACCGCCATGTTCGGTTTCGCCTTGGTTTCGTGGCCGGTCCGATCCGTTTCGAGTCTCGAGGCTGTGCGCCGCCGGTGGACACCAAGTTCGAGGCCACCTTCGGGCAGAAGGGTGAGGGCTGCGACCCCAGCAAGCAGGACGCTTGGGTCGGGGTTTGGGTCGGGTCCATCCACTCTTGCAGCGAAGGTAGTATACCTATACCCCTCCCACCAATGAACATGGAACCTGACGGAAAGGTCCATGTTCCTTTCAAAGGGACCGGGTCCATGTCAGATTCCATGTTAGTTGGTGGGAGGGTATATGACTTTATAAACATGGTTGGGTCTAGGGTTGGGCTCAGAGCTTTTGCAGAAGGAATCCTAGTGGCACGGATGCGTGCCATTTCCCAGTGTTCTGGTTTGTGAAAGTGGGCTGATCATATCAAACACAGGGAGTTTCCGGCGTTGTGCTTGGCTCCTTGGCTTTGGGCCCCTTGCCCTTGGTTTCCTCGGCTTTCGCTGCGCTTCCGCGTTCGAGTGGATGTGATTTAGCTTTCAAGGAGTTCACTGGCTGCGAGTGGATCGACGTCAGCATGGTGGACGGTCAGCTCCTGAGGAAGAGATACAAAAGATCCCTTTGAAAGGGATCCAACGGATCGAGACCTTTTCTATTCAGGGTTGGTTGGCCTGGGCACAGCTCGCCAGGCTGGACACTGCCCTTTAAGTTCGAGGCCGGAGTGGGACAGGCTGAGGTAAAGGTTCCGTCGCGAGACCTTGGCTTCAAGGATGTTACTGGATGCAGAGATACAACAATCCAACAGCTGGAAGCTACCGCGTTGATCAAGGTTTAGCTTGACATGTCTTTGGTTCAGTCGCAAACCGCTCGGCGATCCAGGTGACGGGTAGCTGTGTGTCAACCTCTTCTGGGAAAACGGTAAGCGACGTCAGCATCGACTGCTCCAAGGTCTCAGCAACTTGGCGCTTTACCATTCGTTGGTTGGCCACCCAGTACCACTGCAATTCTCAAAGCGAGAACTCCCGCTTCCAGTGTGGTTTCAATCGCGAAGCCACCAAAAGGAAGGGCGATTCTATTTTCCTTGGCCTTGCAAGCTGAAACCTCTTGAACGCGAGGGCCATTTGGGCCTACACCAAAGGAAAGCGAAACGCTTTACGTGGATAGCATTCCTTGAACTGGCATAGGCCCATGTGAAGTTGGGCCTCTTTTCTCTTGCGCTGCATGATGAGACATACCCTAAATTAATGGCTCCCTGATTGTTCAGTTTTTTTCCGTCCACAGCATCTGGTTGGTTGTTCATGTTGAGACATTGCCCTACCGTTCAGGCATATTTGGCATGACGCAGAAACCTGCAAGGTGGCGCATGTGGTTTTGTGAAAATTGTGGTCATCCCTTTATTCATCTTGGATGCTCTGTTGGATTGAAAGTGCTCGTGTTGGCACTGTCTGGTCTTCGGGACACTAGGGAGTCGGTGCCTCATTTGGACTGACATGCACGACCGGTAAACCGTGCAATGCACATCTTTGCTATTCTGACCTAGTTGTTGGTGGCAGCTCATACATGCCCACAGTGCTTGAACAATCTGGGACCAATCGTCAGAAGTTGCGGCCTTCTCCAGAAAGTTCAGAATACTTCTTCGATCAGGCGGGTTCAATGAGCAGGAATGTCTCGATGCCTAGGGAGCTGGAGCAACCATCCCCCCCAGTTGAACTTTTGATCATCAAGCGGCTCTGAGATCGACGACTGCCCCACTGCTGAGAGCATTGAAGGCACGCACTTTGAGTCGGGGGGGGGGGGGCCCTTCCACGCCAAGCAGTTGGCCAGTGTAGTCAAGCAGTTGCCGGTTCAGTGAGGAGGGCTCGCCTCTTTGGCTCTCTAAGCCATGTCGCGAAGCGGGCTTGCACAATCAGTTCCGCAAGCCAGGTGGCGAGGGGTGCTAGTGGCTTCAAATCTCAGATGCAGCCTTCAAGCGCAATTGCACCATAGCCCAAGTGTGTCAATTTGCCACTGGAGCCTCGACCGGGGGGATCCAGGTGTGGGTTCCTTGGACCTGCGCCTGAAGCACCCGCAGACGGGGCAGCTCCTGGGGTGCTACAGCCCCTGCAGCAAGCCCCGCGCCCGGGTTTCAAGGAATCGCAGTTCGGGCGGAGAAAGGGATCAAGACGTGTGGTGGGTCAAAACCAATGGTACCATTTTGGGATAGGTGCACCGGGTACCCATTTTTGACCCACAGCCACATGTCAGGAAACTCAGCACTTCTCGTGGGTCTCAATGGGTTCGGAGCGCTCGAATCTCGCGGCGTGGAGCTGGCCGAGCGGCCCAGGCTGACCCTCCGCAGCTGGAACAACACGATCGCCAAAGACCACACACCCCAGGACCCGCTGGTTGTCGCTTGCTCGCTCTTGCCCCATGTGCTCTTTTATGAGTATTCCCGGATGATCAACATGGCATTCTGGGAAAACTTGTGCTTTCTTACAAGGAGGTTTCAAGGCGGTAGATCCGTAGCTCAATCGCTGTGGCCACGTGTCGGACTTCGAACCGGACAACTAGTTCTCAATGCTCTTGCAGAATGCTGTGATTTGGATCAGCCAAGGGCCGGCACCTGCCCGCTTTCATGTGCTGGCTGTTCAGGAACCCCTCCAGCCGTCGTCGAAACAAACGCCGTCGGACGGGTCCCAATGGCGGTGCCCTTTGAGGTTGCTGGAGGAGTTCTGATTGGCAGCGTCAGTTGATCAGCATTCCACAGTTTCATTGAGATGATCAGCAAGGGTGGACGCTGGCAACATCTCTTGCTTTTCTGCATTTGGAGGCTTTGAACACAAGCGAGCAAGACATTCCAATACATGGCTTGACATTTCCCAGACTGCATGGTGGGCTCGCTGGCACCTTTCAAGGGTTGATACCCTGGATCACGTACCTCTATTTGCACCCATTTAGCCCTGTGAGGCTAACCCCTCCCAAAGACCCTCATCTGCGGGATACGACAAGGGTGCAATTGGCTAGCTCTCTCAGCCTCAGGACGCCGTTGCTGCGCCATACTGCTGTCCCACACCCCCAGAGTCGCCGGATGCCTGCCGCAAGGGGCCCGTGGGGGAGACCCAATACGTGAAGGCTTCTTGCTTGGGCTGGCGAATCGGGGGGACAGCCCTCTTTTCGGGGTGAAGGAGGACCTAAGAGGGTGAGCTGGTTTATTCAGATTTTGCCCAGCTGTTTCACTTGGCATGTTGGATATGTGGTCATGAAATTGCGGACTCATCCCTTCCCGTTGGTGTCGAGCGCGGCCCTATTTGTGCACCAAACTCGCCAGGCTGTGCACAAGAAGTGCCCGGGGGTCTATGGGCCACTGGACTGCATTGCGCTCACCGCGTTTCATTGGCCTTGGCCCTCCCGCAGTTGCAGAGCACATCTCATCCCAGATTTCAGAGATCATGTTGCAGTGAATCCACGTCCCAACCCTCAAACGACCGCCGGAAGCGCGGACTTTCAGTCCCTTGGACCGCATTGCCAGGTTCAGGGCCCTGAAGCAAATTGCATTTGTTCGAGTGACTTGCGCGAGGGACTCATTTCCACAGATTCGGTCACAGCCAGCACTGCACACTTGCCAAAGCATCAAATCATCACCCAAGTGTCCACATCAGTAGGATCCTCATGCACGCGTGTGTGTGCCGCACAGTTGTGGTTGGGTCACATGCCAGATTCCTCTCCGATCCCAGCGCCTGACTGATGGAAACACGCTGCGTTCGGTTCGGCTGAGGTACTCCTACGATGACGGGATGGGCCTCATGACCTGCACCGCAGGGGCCATCTACACGATGACCCTCTACTGCCCCAGCTCCTTGCCGCCGGGACCCTGGGGCTTTGGCCAAAGCCAGAGGGCGAGAGAGAGAGAGGTGACTCCTGAAGCGGCCTCAAAGTGCTGAGGGCTTGGCTGGGCCTGGGGCCACGGAATCAGAGTAGGAGCCATCTTCCGGCAGAGAGCTTGCATGCCGCCGACTCACCGTGGCTCTTCATTTGGTCAGAGTGTCAAGCGTGATGCAGCTTTTCCATGCCTGATTGCGCTTTGAATCATCTTGGTCAAGCAAGTTCGATCCAAGAGACCGCTGCAGGAGAATGCTCGAAAGGCAGCGGCAAGTTTTTACTTGTGGCTGGAATCGTAGTTCCCACCCGCCGGAAGGTTATTTCCAAAGCAATAAGCTATCTTTCAGGGATCTACAGCAGGTTCCAGTATTAGCACGACCTCCCTATTCGAAGAGCTCAGCAGTGTTCTGCTAGTCGCTAGTGACAACTGGTTATCTGCCTGGTGTCCACAGAACTGACTTTGGCACCAAACTTCAGCTCCGAGAAACGGATGCCCATCCCCACATGTCTCTGGTTCACGGAGGTCCCCCTCTCCATCCCCGCCATCCCCGCCATCCCCGCCGTCCCCGTCTCCGCCGTCGCCGTCGCCATCAAAGTGCTCAGTGGGAGACAGCGTATCTTGTCCAGGCCGGCCAGGAGCGGAGAGGCAATGGGGCGGAATTCCGAATCTGAGCGCTCGATTTTCATCAGAGCATCCCTTGTCCTTCCTCTGACATGATACGACTTCATCGCTCTTTTGGCCATCTGCTGTGTTTGTTTTGTTTTGTTCATACGACACAGCATGTGCCAGGTTTAGTTTACCCACAATTCTGAACTTCTCAGGACACACAACACAATACAGGCCAGTGATCGGATTTGACATGTCTAAAGACACTCACAAGGTAAACGAGTCCAAGTTGTTCGCTCAATTTTGCCACTCCGTCTGTGTCATGATCCTGCCAGTAACCTTCAAGGTTACTCCCCGCAGAATGTATTTTGCTCCTGTTTCTACTGAACCAAACATAGGCAGCTTACGCACTACACATGGTAGATGGTGCGGTGGCTGCTGCTGCTGCTGCTGCTGCTGCTGCTGCTTTTGCTGCTGCTGCTGCTGCTGCTGCTTTTGCTGCTGCTGTTCTGTTGCTGCTCTGCTTTGTCTTCTTGTTGGTGTCATTGATGAGTTTCAAGCACTTGGCCTTGGCTTTTCCTTCTTTTTTTTGGTTTTAACCGCCCAACCTCCAACCTTACCACGCCAACCACAAGAGGGCACACGTTTGTGTGTGTGTGTGTGTGTGTCTCTGCGGGTGCTTTTTTGAGGTTGGGCACCCTTTCTTCCGGTTTGAAGGGACACCAATTCGTTTTTGGGTCCCCCGCGTCGTGCGCCACTCCTTCGGCAGGTTCCAGCGCCCTCTGCGCGGGGGACGCCTGCTGTCCGGACGGCTCCACCTGCCCCTCGGCGGAGAAGTCCTACCAGGCGCGGGGGTCTCCTCCAAGACGGTTTTTGGAAAATTCACCGTGGACGAAATGTGAAGCAGAAGCTGAAACCAAGGGTTTTCCGTGTAATTAGCTCAGATGTGGGCGAAGACTTCGTAGGTGAGAACTAGCCATGGATGTAGGTTAGTTTCCTTACAACTATGCTTAGCTTACAATCCCGCCAAACATGGCTTGGCGCACAGAGCGCATTTTTATGCTGGTAGTGGGCGGTGATGGTGAAAGGCTGCTGTATTTGCGGGGAATTATGCCCCACTTGCCAAGTGGCGTGAACATCTAAGCAGTGTAAAAACCTGGTAACTGGGCGAAGAAGAACGGAATGCGCGTTGGTTTGTGGAAGAAAGGGCATAACTGCAGCTCAGCAGCAAGAGAGGGCCCTCAATTTTTAAGCCATGTGGATATTAGGCTTGAGCCGCTGCATGTGAGTGACCCGCGTCTTGGGCTTGAAGCGGCCAGGGATGCTCCAAGCCAAAGTCGAAGGACTGCACAGAAGACGCTTCGCTGTGGAAAGCTTGGGGAGGAAGACAGGGGTCTCTCAATTTCCCTCTTGACCTCCACAAGCTGCATTTGGGTATCTGGCAGCCAATTTCCACTTTTGAAGGGGAATCAGGAAGGGGAAAGCCAGTGAACCCTATTCAATTGTGTCTCCGCCGGGAATCGGAGGCGTTTGCCGGCCCCTCACAAAGCGCACTGTCCTTCGGTTGTTGTATGTTGCACAATGCAGCGGATGTGCCAGGTGAATTTTGCGGGTAGGGAGAACCATCCTTGCTGTGGCACCATGCACTTTCAGCTAAGGAGCAGACCGAGACCATGGTGGTTGTGTGAGCTGGATGTATCTGCATAGACTTCAGGGCTGTGCAAGAACCCACCGCACAATCCCCATGCATTATTTCAGATGCTGATGCATCTTGCGAGCATAGCGGCTGTGGACACTTGGTTTGCGGCTGATGTTCCACACTGCTTTTGGAGCATCCCGCACCTTTGCTCAAGAAAAGAAGCGTACCGACCAAGGAGTGTGGCTTGTGAGTTTGCCCGTAACTTTATGGAATATCGCGTGTTCAAACACGTATGCGTGAGCTTGCCACCAGCCCAAACAGGATACCAGTCACAAACACCACCCACGCAAATGGCCACCGTTCCACCACGCCGGCTCCTGCACATGCCAGTCCGCAAAGTGGCAGTCTGTGGCCGAAGAAGACCCGGAGCTCAAAGAGTTGTTCGAGAAGGTCGTACAGGTCTGGGCGCGGGAAACTTTGGATGTTTGCAGAATGCAAATCCCTCACAAAGCTGAAAGTTGAAATGGCGGATATTGACCTCGGGACAGCCGTTTGGGATGGGCCAGGCCTGGCATCACACCTTTGGGAGGAAGCCTGGCCATCGCCGAAAATCGCAGGCTGAGGAGAACCTGCAAGAGTTGCAGGACAAGATCCAGGCCAGCAAAGCCGCCCCTCGGGCCGCAAAGTGCCGAAGTGCCGCAGTCGTGCATCACTGGCCCGTAAAAGTTGGAAACGCGGAAAGGGGACGTGGGTGGCTGTTCATGTGCCTTTTGGGGAGGTCCCACGCGTGGAGGTTTCGCGGATCAATTGAAGAAAGGGCTAGCTGGCTTGGTGGCCACAAGCCTAGATTTGCATGCAGCGAATGAGTGGTTTGCCTTTTTTCCACTTCTGTGTGGCTGTGGTGTGTTTGTATTTGTTTGCTTGCGTGTTTGCTTTTTGTTGATTGCTGAACCTTGCAGCATGCGTGTGCTGGTTGTATTCCTGTGTGTTTGCCCACTGGCTTCATTTGCCCGTTTCAGTGGCCAGTCCGGCTTCATTGCGCAGCACAAACAAACAGTCCGTATGATCAGAGGCATGAGGTCAAGGCGGGCAGTCAGCAACTAACTACCGAGGGCTATTTCAGATTCCTGGGACAAACGCAGACACTGCAGCCACCAAGAACGGTATGACTGTTCTTTTTCTTTGGAGTCCGGGACCCGCTTCTTTGTAAAGCTGGTTCTCCAACGGAGCAGATGCACCACACGCCACCAGCCAAGGATTTGGTGCAGGCCAAGAAGAGGCAAGGAGCTTTGCGCATGCCTCTAGCAACATGACACGTGGCGATGCGTGGGGGTTGCGTACAACAAGATGCAGGCACACTAATTATTGAATCCAGCATGGTTGTGGGAAAGTGGGTTGTAGGGCGATGTGATACCAAGGACATTTCGTTTGACCAAAGCCATGGGGAAGGCCCAAGTGCACAACCAATGAATACGAGGCATGTGCACGATTTGGAGAATGACACCAAGTACGGCTACACGAAATTTGCTTTGGGCCCAGATTGACTTCGTGGCATAGTTCATAGTCAGCGACGGACAATTCGTATTTTTCCTCCTCCAGGCCATCGACACAGGAGAGCCTAACGATTGGGTGGAGTAATGATTTGCACGTTCCTATCGTCGCCAGTACTGGTAGCCTGCAGATATTCAATATTTGTCCTGTTCTTTCTCAATTCATTTTGAGGGTGCATCGTCATCCTGCGCTTGCACAACCAGCATGTCATTCGCTTTCAAACCATGGCCGAAGCATCCAGATCTGTGTTTTCTGCCGTTGCACAAGCAGATCGCCTCTCGGAGCACGCTGGGTACGACAAGTGTGCGGGCAGATGGCTCAGTTTCGGCTGAGGCCCTGAGTTTGTTGCACGTCCCGGACAACCTGGAGCGGGCCATCGACAGCGTCAAGACTGACCAGATCGATGAAAGCCAGGCCCGGGCCGCATGGCTGGCACATGGCTGTCATCAAGAGGGACTGAGTGAGTCATTCTTAGCATTTCCTCGTATGGTGCATGATTAAAACAGGTCTTCAAGTGTCCCAACATCACATTCTCACCATTTGGGCCCTCATAGTACTGGAATACGCCTGGGTGTGTTTCGCAGCCTGCGCTTGCAGGAGCTGCGGAAGGAGGTGGAGGGTGCCCGGCTCTCAGCGAAGGGATTTGGCGGTCCGGCTCTTTGCTGATCGAAAACAACGACACACGCAAATTCTATGTGGAAGTTGGGCGAAACAACGACTGGGGTGTTCAAAGCTTAGTCCTCAGTTGGGATGCATTCCTAGTGCTGTCCCTCTGCGGAGCTCGGAAAAAATCGGAATCCCATTTTGAAGCCAAGACACCTGGAGCGAGGTGCAGAAGATCCGGCACGCCGTGGAAGAGGCTCTCAAGGAGTTCGGCGTGGTGAAAATGAAGGCACGCCAAAAGCGTCCAAGGCGAATGCCCACTGATTTCGAAGCAGACATGAAGTTTGGGTGCCCTTTGCACACAAAGTTCCTGGCCTTCATACAGCTGAGAGAAGTGTGAAGGGGTTGAAGGGGTTGAGCTTTGATTTTCTCGATATGGACTTGAACCCGCAGGCGCTTGACGCGGCCTTTGACCCGGAACACCATGAGGCCATGTTTGCCATGGAGATGCCCGGGAAGGAGCTTCCCGGAGAATGGGCAGTTTCGGAGCAGCCCAGCCTATCAGCTTCCTGGCTGCTGGAAGGGAAAACTCACAAAGCCTTGCGACTTGTCTTTATGGACCCACCACAAGAAAGACAAGGACAACATGGCGTCTGTACAGGTCCGAGTTTGTCGAAGAAGTGCTCCTGCCACAGCAACCGCAGTTTCCCCGGCCATGATGATTCTTTTTCCCACACAGTATGACAAGCACCTCCGGAGAAGCCACTCCGTGTTTCGAAAGACATCCCTCTGCCAGGAGCCCAACATGATCTTCCATGTTATGGAGCTGCAACCTCAGCTCTGCGTCGCGGGGGCGCAGGCTTAAAGCTTGATGATGTCCATGAACGGGTCGATCACTTTCCGTTAGTGTTTTGGGCCGATGCTCGCGCCCCCGGTTTTTGATCTCCTGAAAGTTTCCGATTTTGGTTCTGTTCGGAGCGGGCACTTCCGGGAGTGGCGAGAGGAGTAAGAGAGAGCTCCTTGGTCCTGCCAACGCGCAACTGGACAAGATTGTGGATGCAACTGATTTTGAAGAGAAACCACATCGCAGATTTGGAGGGGATGGATTCCTGTGTTTTCCTCCGAGGCCGGGCTACATGATCCATGACCGCACGCTGAGGGCAGCCAAGGTGGGGGTCACCAAGTGACCCGGCCTCGGCCTCAAAGCAACAGGCTCTGCACCAGCCTTCAGGGATTCTTGATACCGTTGATACCTGAAGCCCCTGCCTGTGGCTCCATACTCCCCTTCCGGCCATTTCGGCTGCGCCAAGTTTCACCTTAAGCGACTAGGGGCGACTGAGTGAGAGCCGGCGGCCAAGGATTCTCGGGATCTCGAGGATGAGCAGTTGCGCCGGCGCACCAGGCTTCTCGAGGACCCACATCTGAACAGTGAAAAAGCCAAAAGAGGGCGGCGCGCTTGTCGTTTGACGCCAAACCCACTAGCAGAGGATTTAGTTTTGGCCACCCACCGCTGGTCTTCCAATTGGGGGATCCTTTAGATACTGTGGGGGGCGACCCAAATCATTTTTGCCGAAGGGTGTTTTTTTGACGGGGGAAATTGGGAACAGAGCTTGACTGCTTTGCAAGGTTTGGCGCAAGGCAAACTTGGAGGAGTCTTGCTGCTTCAAAAGCAAACTCCCGTGCAGATGGTGTAACCAGACTATGTTTGAAGGAATCTTCTTCTGGGGTGCTAATTTGCAGGAAAGCCTACTTGAGCGCCAGCATGAGCTCTCTCCCTCTCTCACATGTTGGGCTCAAGTGACAGCCGGTGCAGCGGGATTCGGTAACTGCTATATTACTTTCGTGCGTGCTGCTCCCCGAGTTGCAGCATGACTGGAGAGAAGAGCCCTTTGCCAGCAACAGATGGTGAAGAGCACATCACAAAGGACGCGGTCAAGGAGTACTACTCCAAGCACTTGAAGACCTCCGTTGACTTGCAGACCAATGCCTGTTGCACGTCGGCTCGTCCACCGGACCACATCGGTACGGCGATGATCAACGTCCATTACGAGGTTGTGTCAAAGTACTACGGTTGCGGTTTGTGCTTGCCCGAAGACATCGATGGCCTTTCCATCCTTGACTTGGGCTGCGGTGCCGGCCGTGACGTCTACATCGCATCTCAGCTTGTGGGTGCGAAGGGCCGGGTCGTCGGAGTGGACATGACGCAGGAACAGCTGGACGTCGCTATCAAGCACAAGGAGTACCACGCGAAGATTTTCGGCTACAGCAATGTGGACTTCAAGCTGGGCTACATCGAGCGCTTGGGCGAGCTTGGCTTGGAGCCGGGAAGCTTCGACGTCATCGTGAGCAATTGCGTGATCAACTTGAGCCCCGACAAGCAGAGCGTTCTGCGCGAGGCCTTCACGCTCTTGAAGCCGGGCGGTGAGCTGTACTTCAGCGATGTGTATGCCGACCGTCGGGTACCCAAGAGCCTGCGTGAGGATCCCGTCTTGTGGGGGGAGTGCATCTCTGGTGCCTTGTATTGGAACGACTTCTTGAACCTTGCGAAGAAGTGCGGCTTCACGGATCCAAGGCTGATGAAAGATAGCAGGATTACTGTGAACAACCGGAAGCTCGAGGGCAAGCTCGGAGCCCTCAAGTTCTTCTCTGCGACCTACCGCTTGTGGAAGCTTGAGGATCTTGAAAGCCATTGCGAGGACTACGGCCAGGCGGTGATCTACAAGGGCACTTGCCCGCATTGTCCGGACGTCTTCGACTTGGACGGCCACCACTCCATCGAGAAGGGCAAGGTCTTCCCCGTGTGCGGCAACACGTGGAAGATGTTGCACGACACTCGCTTCAAGAAGCACTTCGACTTCATTGGCAACTTCGACACGCACTACGGCATCTATGACGGATGTGGCACCTCGATCCCTTATGCCAGTGCCAAGGACGGCTCGACTGGTGGGGCATGCTGCTGAATGCAAAGTGCCCTTCCATCGGTGATCGAGCTTTGCCTTGATCGAAGTCCCCGGAGAGGACCTGCTGGGTCCTCTCTGGACTCCTCGTGCTTCCCCCGGAAAGCGCCGTACAGAAGAGGGGCCCTAAGCCTAGGAAGCTGGCCAAATGTGCAGAGCCATGCTTGCAACTTGCGTGCAAGTGGGTTCAGCCTGATGGAGTTAACGTGTGAGAAGCCATGTGGGTACGGGTCAAAATTAAGCCACCGCAGGTTTTAGTTCATGTTTCCATTTACCAGGGTTCCATTTTGTATTTTTGACCCACAGCCATGTGACTTGCCATTGTCAAGAGAGATGTCCAATGCTCCTTTTTGCTGGTTGAGCAAAACGCGAAGCCTTGCCGGAACCAGATCCAGCCTTGACTAAGTTATCTAAAGAAGCCACGGAGCGGAACTTGCCAAGGGCGCTTGGCCCAGGTAGGGCATTTTCCAATCAGCTTCTTGTGCTTCGCGCGCTCGAAATCATGTGTGCAGGAGCAAATTTGGCCCGGCGATGCAAAAGGCACAGCCAACTTTTGGGGTGAGAGCCGGCGGCCAAGGATTCTCGGGATCTCGAGGATGAGCAATTGCGCCGGCGCACCAGGCTTCTCGAGGACCCACATCTGAACAGTGAAAAAGCCAAAAGAGGGCGGCGCGCTTGTCGTTTGACGCCAACCCCACTAGCAGAGGATTTAGTTTGGCCACCCACCGCTGGTCTTCCAATTGGGGGATCCTTTACAGATTTTGCTGCGGGATCTGGCAACACGAATTCTCTCTCGCACACGTTGGGCTCAAGTGACAGTCGGTGCAGCGGGATTCATTACCTGCATTTCAGCCATGGCTCTTGACTCGGAGAGATTTGGGTGTCAAAATTGAACAGGAGGGGCAAACCGCAGGGTTTGGTCCATGTTTCCACTTACCAGGGTTCCATTTTGGTACCGGCTTTTTGAGCCACCGCCATTTGCGACGCTTTGCAAGTTGATCAATTCTGTCGGCTGCAGAGAGCCGTTGGAGCGGCTCACTGAGGTGAAGACCACATCCCTGACCAAGTCTGAGCTTGTGGATGTCTTGGGCAGTGCCAAGACCAGCAAGGAACGGACAAATGGGAGGGGGATGCATGTGTGCTACGCTCTCTCTCTCTCTCTCTCTCTCAGGGATGAATGCCTGAAACCATTTGCAATGCAGAGGGATGAAAGTATCCCGGGGGGTTTCTGTGAGATGTCCGCAAAAGTTCTTTGGACGCAGATCTCTGGTTCTTATTCTTCGCTTCGAGCTCGAACTCAGTGCGCAGCCCCGCAGATCGTGCGGAGGGGTTTCCTCTTGGTTTCCCTTGAAACACGAAGGTGTCAATTTCTCCAAGAGACCGATGCGGACGTTGCCTTTCGGCCTTGCGGGCTGGGATCGAAGGAGCGCAACCGTGCGGTGAAACTTCTGAAGCAGTTTGATCCCGTGCCCCACTACGAGTTCGACGACGAGGGCTTGAAGGCAAAGATGAGGCGGGCGTACGTTCAACCCATGCAGGTTCCCATTGGGGTCTTGTACTCTCAGCAGCTGGTCATGCCAAAGAGTAGGACTCCGCAGGGCCACGATCCCCGCATGGAAGTTTGGACATAGCAGACAGGGGCTCGACATGTGCAGGCCGAAGAAATACGAGCTCCCGACCTGTTTGGCCCGGTGCTTCGAAGAATCAGCGCATGAACTGTGATGGCATGAGCCACCTTTGTGTGTGGGTGCCATGTGCAAAAGGCGAAGCCCAGCTTTTCTCCTTTTCGATTTGCGAGACTTGGAAGCCAGGATTACCTCCTGGGCTACATGTGCTTCAGGTGTGACAAGGTCAAGCAGTCCAATTTCAAGGCGCCAAAGAAAGCCTTTCCGTCCGAAGTCAACTCTCCACACTTGACCTCCGCAGCATAGGCGGGTGGGGTGTGTCAGGTTTGTTTGTAGGATCCATCAGCCAGAGGTAGTGATTGAGCCGGGAAAAGGGTCGACAATGAGGCACGCGCAGTGGCGTGATGGGGAGGAGAGAAAATGATTGGGCACGTCTCGCCGCCTGGCTCGAGGTGATTTGGAGCACCTCGAAGGGCAACAAGATCATTTGCCCGGCACCCAACATAGGCCTTGAGCAAGCTTGTTGTGTAGATTCCGAGTCAAAGTGCCTTGAACGGCTGGCCACCTTGACGAAAGTACCTTGAACGAATTGTGAGCGGGACCCTCCAAGTAAGTGAACCATTCAAGTTGGGATGCCTTGTACGTGCCATTGCCTTTAACAGCCATGAAGGTTCCTGGCCCCCCGTCCCTTGTAGGATACCCCTTTCATTCCCCCGCCCACCGCTGCTGGCCCCACAAGTGCCTTAGACACTTGAAATGCGATCTTCAGCTTGCGCTGTACGCCAGCCGACGCTCCGTGTCAGTAAATCAGCTTGCAGGTTTTTGTCAGTCCTCAACGAGCCTCCCCCTACCATCCACACGCAACTTGCAGCACCCTCAAGAAATCAATATGGCCGTGGGTCAAAACCAATGGCACCATTTTAGGGTAGGTGAAGCACCCATTTTAGTCTATTTTAGTGGGGATTGGGATGTTCACTGGACACCATGCCTCCCAACAGCGCACAGGCCACCCTTGCTATGTGCAGCTTGCTGAGCGCGAGGAGGTGGGCGTGATGCGCGCGGCAAACCAGAAGGCCAGGTGGTTGGACAGCGGTTTGAGATTTGGAACTGTTCTCCATGGGGCTTTGCATCTTTGAGTAGCCGCCCAGCTGATGCTGTCTCTGATCATGCGCCGTGCCAAGGTCAACCATGATGTCATGGGATCAGTGTACCACTGTCTTGCACGATTCCAGCAGTCGCTACGGGGAGCTGATGTCGGAAGTTTTGTTGGGGTGTTTGTTTGCACTGAGTCCAGAGGCCAAGCTGGTGTTGGAGGACCCATGGGTTCTTTTCCACAAAGAGACCCGCAGGCTGGCATCATTCCCAAGGGCTTCGGCCTGGGATTGACCGGTACCGCCTGCCATGCTTTCACTCGGAGCGAGGAGAGGCTGTGGACTCTCTTATTGCAGGCCAATAGAGTGCTAAGGGACCGCCAGAGCTGGTGCCAGGCGTGGTGCCAGAGCAGGGTCCGAAACCCTGAGGCACCGTGAGCGCGGGGATGTGCAGTTGCTCTGCCTGTATCTCCCTTCTCTGTCTCCCTCCCCTCCCCTCCTTTCCCTCCCTTTCCCTCCCTTTCCCTCCCTTTCCCTCCCTTTCCCTCCCTTTCGCTTTTCTTTCTTTCTTTCTTTCTTTCTTTCCCTCTTTCTCTTTTTTTGCGTTCCTTGCTCTCCCTCCCCCATTTCTCTCGATGACTTTCAACAACGCTTACTGGTGAACAACAGGGGGTTGGGTGGAAATGCAAAGCTGTTGTGGACAATCTGGGGCTGGCCTGGGAAAGAACTCCACTTAAAAGGGCTGCGGCAAAAAGCCTGCTTGTGTCGAGCATCGTGAGTGAGAAAAGGAGCAATGCCGGTTGCAGTTGGTTTGCAGTTCGACAAACAGGGTAGATCGCGCTGGAGGGTAGCAATCCCCAGTTGTAGATAACATTTCCCAGCACTACGTTTGCTCTGCCTGAATCACATCATCCATATTGACACTGGCCCCTGGCGGTGTGGAAGGTGCCCTGCAGTCAAGGTAAGATAGGGTCACGGCCCTTGACTCGGGTCGTAGGCAGACGTGCTGTAACTCAGAGCATTGGAACACGCTTTGGACAGATGGATAGGCTTGCTTCAGTCACTGAAAGTACTACGTCTCGTGTGGTTTTCTGCTCTCTAGAGGAAAGCTTCATTCTTAGAGAGCAAGAAAAAGAATCTGTCAAACTTGGCTGAATTTGAAGCAAAGTCTGTGACAAGCAAACAAAACTTTCTTATCCAAGGACTTTAAATTGGACAATAGCATGGACAATGGAAAAACAAACAAACATCTCCTTGCCTAATGGGTACAAATTTAGCGCAAGCCACAAAATCATAAAAAAGAGAGAGAGAGAGAGAGAGAGCAGCAGGCTCCCTGCACACGTTTTCAAAACTTGTTCTTTTTGACGTTTGGAAACGTGCACAAGTTTGCATCTTCTTTCTTTCCCTTGCAGTTTCGGGAAGTTCTCTTGTATGTGTGTATGTGTGCCTTTCTCACCTTTGCATTGCAGTTTTTTGGAGTTTCTCTTGTATGTCTGTTTCTTTTTCTTCTTACTTGCTTCCCGCTTCTTCTTCCCTCCTTCTTCTTCTCTCCTCCTCTTGTCTCTTCTCTTTTTTCTCTTCTCTGATCTCCATCCTTTCTCTCCGTCCGTCCATCCTTTCCGTTCTCTTCTCTCCTCTGCTTTTCTCTGCCAAACCTTCTCTCCTTTGCTCTCCTTCTTCCCCTTTGCTCTTGCTTCTCTTCCTGTGCTCTTTCCAAACTCTTTCTTTTTTCTTCTTGCTCTCCTCCACATTGTGGCCTAGTCTATTGCGACTTATGTGTTTAGAGTATGTGTTCTGTGGGGGTTGAGTTTGCACGATAGTGGTGGTTGAGTCTGCGAAATAGCCCGTAACTGAGTTCCTGAACTTCAATGCCTTTTTGGGAGGAGTGTTCTAGCGGCACGATTCAGAGTGCGGCCTGTATTTGCCAATCACTAAGTGGGACAAGGGACCTTCTGTTGCGTTCCGTTCTAGTAGGTCGAAGGTTAAGCGAACTGAGCCAATCCAGCAGAGGTGTGCGTGGCACCCGTATGGGTGGCACCCCATCAGGAGAGAACCGCTCAAGAATAGCTTCTATCTGGTCCAGGCTTGCCAAACTTATAAGCAGAAAGGTTGCTTTCTCATCCTCGTCTTTCTGTTTTCAGGACCGGGTGGTGCCGTACAGAACTCCCGGCGACCTGAAGTGCCACCCGGAGCACTGGAGGCAACCGGAAGGAATCCATCTTTTCATGTGTTGTTCTAAAGGTCCTTGTAAGGAGTTTAGTAATGTTGACCCCATATTAATCAACCCCAGTGTATTCATACGGGGGTGTCCCTGAGTTTAGTGGGGAATCAGACCACTTTTGGAGGGGAACTCCCCCCCAATTAACAACTGGAGCTGATTCATATGGGGTCAACAATATTCGGTGACCGTTGGTGTTGGTTACGACCAGGGCTATGACTGGTCAATTGGGGTTTGCCCCCTTGTCTGACGTGGCTTGAAGATCCAAGTATAGTCCCACACCACATTCTCGTTGCGAAGCCCGGTACCATGTTGAGAAGGTGACTAACCCTACTTGCCAACCAATACCCGTGGTTCTACCTCACTCGACTGGATAGAGCGTCCAAGAACCCCCCCCCCCCCCCCACAAAAAAGGGAAAACCGCAAGCAAACAACAACGCCAAAACGCACACACACACACACCCACCCACCCACCCACCCACCCACGCACCCACGAAACTCCCCTTGCCCCAAGAACCTCCATGAAGCTTCCCCAGCCGGCCCAAACTCCCCGCCAGGGCTGTGGCCACGTGGCTCACAAGGAGGATCCTGAGAGGTTCACTCAGCTCGTGGCGCAGTTCCTCCGAAAAAGGCTTTGGGAGTGCCGTGCGTGAGATCCGGCCTTGGGGCTTAGATCCGTGTCTGGGATCTCCTGATATGCTAATGGTTGTTCATTGTTTGTTGTTTGGTTGGTGCTTGCTGGACATGAATGCCTAACCTACATGATGTACACCAAAAGATCCCCCAGTCCTGAGCATATATATATATATGATCATATATATGTATATGTTATTGTTATCATACGCATATATTTATATATATGTTCAGGTTCCTTCATTGGCATACATGGTTAAGGTTCACTAATTCTGGACTAGAATCCGAGAATAAACCTGGCTGGGCAAAAGCTGCGGTAGTTTTGAGACGTCGACCGAGAGATTGGCTTCATCTCTCAGCCTTCTTTACTCTCAAGGCGCTATGCGGGGCCTTTGACGGGTCCGAAAAAGGGCTGCCGGGAGTTGATGATTGTCTCCCAAGATCTGATCATGCGGAGCTGTCATAGTGTGCACATGTCGTGTATATAACCATATAAATACGTACTGTATGCAGACAGCTGTGTCAATAGTCACTAAAGCATCCATGATTTCCTTGTTGATAATCTTTACTCACCGATTCAAAGCCCTACATCAGCATCGCCCCATCAAAACCGCCTAGGCGACCATATGTCCCTGTCAGAATCACAGCTGCTTACGGTCAGTGTGGGATGGGCGTGCGCCCGACTTTTGATTTTTAATGCCTGATTTCAAGCCATCCCAACTGAGCGCGGATATTTCGCCTCGGCATACCATCGTTTTGGTTATTCTGACTTTCACGAAGGCTCCTATGACGGGGTCTTTGCGTGCCACGCACAAACAGAGCTGAGGGCGCGCAAACGCTTTCTGCCGGAGCATGTCCTTCGGTAGCTCATGGCAACCTCACAGGCGGCTGAGCGGAGAGGACATCACTCTGGCTGTTGAATTTTCGCTTGACGAGGGTGAGGACCACCGGCTATAGCCCCCTTTCCGAGGGTTTTTTTAGGATCCCTCAGTCAAGGCAGCGACAAAGGCCTTGCACTAAGTTCTGTCACTTTTGGGTCCAGCCAGAGTTTGTTGGTGCCGAGTTCAAGTGCTGCCAGGGCTTCGAGTCTCGAAGTCCAAACTTAGCGTGTCAGTGACTGCAGCAGACTAGGAACTCACAAGGGAAGAGTTAAGGTGTGAGTTGATCAGCTTCCCGGATCCCAGCCACTTTTTAGCCTTCGGGTTCCCGGGGGAGCGAATCAGGGAACAGCAATGGGAGCCACACACTCCCCGAAGCCAAGTTCGCGGATCAACACCAACTGCTCTTTTCCGACAAGGCGCGTAAGAGTTCACTGGATGCTTTCCCGTGTTCACGTGCTCGCCCCAGACCGCAACAAGACATCTTCAATACGCCAGTATGAGGAGAACCCATGTGCCAAGAGGTCCTGGCAGTGTTGGAGCGAATCAGCTCCTGTGTCACGGCTCTGTGCCAGGTGCCAGCAGCTCCGGCCCTGCTCGAGCCGGGCGTCCCAGCGAGCCATGACTCACTGGGGCGTGCCCAGCCGCAAAGTCGGTGACTGTTGTGTTGGTCATGGATGCAATCAACCAGAACATTGCCAGAGAGCTGAACGGAGATTACCATTGGGGGAAGATGGTGGAAGTGGAAGATGAAGATGTGGGAGATATAGACTGGTTAAAGCTCAGAATGGCAGAGCCTAGATGTCGTGGGCATACGGCGTGAGGTTGGGCGATCCCGTGCCTTTGCGAGTTGACTCCGATGCCCTGAGCCCCAGGCTTTCCATCGAAGCGAGGGAGAGAGAGAGAGCTGGTTGAAGTTGTTGCGAAAAGTATTTCCACCTCCGCAGGAATATGAGGTATATAGGATTCATACTGCCTGTATAGCGGGGTATGCGCCTAATTTCCCGAATGATTGGTTTGGCGGCAGTGGAGATCCTCTTAGATCATCTTCCAGGACGTTTTTTTGAGCAGAAGTTCTCCTGTCGCCAACCGCTAAAGACTACGTTGAAACCGTCCCGCCGAAAACCCCAGAAACCGATCCAGGATGTTTGAGAATCAGTGCAACCATGTGGAGATAAACGTCTAAGGAGTAAGAAGCGTCTCAAGTGCGCATAGTCAGTAACGCATCCTTTGCTATTTACTTCACTGCTCTTGGCCAGTTGCTTTTTTTACTTTTTGTTTTGGTTTTTTGGTGTCTATTCCTTTTTAGTGGGCCGCAAAAACCCGAAAGTTTGCCACACGGGCTGTGAAGTTCTCAGTGGCCCAGGTCTGGGAGGGCCATGACCTGAGCTTCCAGAAGCCCGGCGGAGGAGTCCGTAGGCCTTCGGGGCGTGACGGGGCCCCCCGGTTTCCTCGGGGTACGGTGCATGGTTGCGAAATCCTCTTGGGCACCCAAGAAGCCATGGTTGAAACCACTGTTTGTTGGTATTTACAGGGAATCAGACCATTCCAGGGATTCTTAGGTGGTGCAGCATCCACAGTAGGTGGCCTTAGGGAAATTGGACTTGTAAGGGGTTGAGGGGGCCATGGCGCATTTGTGCCTTTCTTCTGGGGATTCCCTTTAGGTTCAGAAGGAAAGCCGCAGAAAAGTTACTGGGGGAGTCTGCTAGCCAAGGGGACACACATTTCGGCCTTCCCCAAAATTCACACCCGTCTTGCACATGTGTGGGCTCTCTGGCTTCTCTGGTGAAGCTAGCCTAGCACTCCCAGCGATTTCCCCTTTGTTGGGTTCAAGTGTTGGATCTTTTGATCATTGCTTTGTGCTTTGTTGCTTTGTGTCGATTGCTTTGTGTCCTGTTCATTGCGAAGCCACCAGGCGGTCTGCATTGTTCAGACCCCATGTGCGACTCTGGACAGGGCTTTGGTGGTGCCAGGTTTCGCGCAGGCCCGAGCTGAGGGGGGCAGATGGGAGGCATTCCAAAGGTAACCAGGCCCTGTCTTATTCAAGACATACAGACACTGGGGCACCTTTGAGGGGGCCAGTAGGAATATTTTTGGATTCATGCTGAACGGTGCCTAGGAATTTCTTGAACTGCATGCGTTTTGTTTTCAGCAGCAACAACTTCTCCCAAATGCGTCCCGAGTTCTGGCACAGCTGTGTGGGATGCCTGAGCGATGTGGCAAATTGGATAGCGCCACAAAGCAAACGGGAGCAGATGTTAGAAGACTAGAAGGCCCCTGGAGAGATTCACGGCTTCAATTTGGTTCTTATGCGCCAGACGTACACCAGTGAGCAGCAAAAGTCGTGCCCCATGACAAGTCATCGGCAGGCCCAGGCTGAGTCACTCCATGAGGCGATCGAGGCACGTGCGGGGGCCGTGTCGTAGAGAGATGCCCCAGCGGCATCCTGAGAGTCAAGAAACATAGGGACCATTCCAAGTAACCTGATGCTAAAACGAGGATCTTTTCAGTCTTCGCAGCTTCAAAGGCACCTTTGAGTTTTGTTTTAACTGGGAGACCTGCGCCATGTTTTGGCACGTTTTCAATCTGATGGCCTTGAGGAGTGCCTGCCACCTTCGACTGGTGCAGGCCTGGGACCGTGAGGGAGCCATGGCCGTGAAAGTGGGCTTTGACCGCAGTGCATGGAACAAACAGGAGAACAACAGGGCACATGGGGCCTGACCGGGCGACACTGAACACGCACACGCACAAAATGGCAGTCCAACTGCCAAGAACGGCACCATTCAGTCGACTCCAGACTGGCACTTGAGTCCTTGTCTATTTGTCAATGACCATGTTTGGCAATGGCTTCAAGAGGAACAATCTGATACTTGTGGCAGCCATTGAGAGAGGTCCAGGGAGGCCCGGCAGCCCTTTGATTCCAGGGGACTTGGAGCTGATGCAGTCAGAGCCTCAAGGGGAGCCAGACGTGTGGTAGAGGGCCAGGAGGTTGGCTGCAGCTGGTCAAGGTGCTCCAGTTTTTGAATGAACACTTACCGAGCTACGGGGCGGCCAACACAAATGTGTCTCGAAATCAGCCACCCCAAAGGGCCCCACTCCAAAAAAGGGTTCGCATCCTCTCATTGGGGGGGGGATGTTTTTGAAAGAGAATTGGAACGGCGCAAATCAAATATGCATCTCCCAGGATCACTGGTGGGATCGATGCCAACAAAAACCGAGCGCCTCAACTTTTGAGGTGCGGGGAGTATAGCCAAGCGGCTGTGGAGGGCCTGCTGAAGCCGTGGCTGGAGCGACAGCGCCTCTGTCGGCACATGGAGGCTGCTGGGCATGGAGCCAGGGGCTTGTCAAAATTGCTACCATGCGTAATTTACCCAGAGAATCCCAACAGGGGATCTCCAAAAAGGAGATTCCTCGAGTCCTTTGAGGGGGTCATTTGAAACCGCACATGCAACGCACACCCACATACACAATCGGTACGCAAAGGGTCCACCGGGGGTGCGGATCTGCGCCCGAGCCCAGGCTGTTGCCGCTGATCCGGCGGCAGCTTCCCTCGGTGGCAGTGAGCTCCTGCAGCGTGAGGCGACCGTTGCAGCTGAGCTCCAGCATCCTCGTTGAAGCTTGCGGATTTTAGATGTTCTGTTCACAAGGCAGAGGATTGCAGGACAAAGCTAGATTTCACTGGTTGTGGTGTGTCGCGGGCTCTAACATGCAGTCAGCGGAAATAATGCTTTTATTCCGTTGCGGCTGATATGCATGGAATACAAATCAGATTGCAAAAGCTGCTCAGAATAGCGACTCGCTCTCAACTTCAAACATGAGAAGTGTGGGCAATTGGAGGTTCTTACAGCAGAACTGTAAAGGAGAATGTGGCTGGCTCAGAAGTGGCGATGAGATGTTCAACATTGTTCAACCGTGATTTGCGAGGACAGGGGAAACCGCCCGAGTTCCCCACAACGGCGCGGTTGACTTGGAGGATCCCCTTTGTGAGACGGGTCGCTTTTTGCCTTCTGCGCCATGTGGCAGGCGCCTTCCATCGGCGGATTCGGCCTCGGAGGGTATGTGCTGGAGCAGTCTTGGTCTGCTCTTGGCTTGAGGATCCCCAGTTCGTGGCTTGGGATGATGGTTTTGCCGAACCCTTGGTCCCGTGTCCTCGTAATCCAACCCCATCAGCATCATTCGGCAACAAATATATCAACCAGGTTTATGAAAACAAGAATGCGCCGAAGTTGAACATCCCCATGCCGGTGTTTTCTGTAAAACATGCTTGGTATCCGCTCGTTTCCCTTTAGGTCTCACATTTTAGGACACCTGCGCCAAAGTTGGAAATCAATCTTGATGCGCAATGCCCTCAAGATGGTGGACACACATTTGCCACAGGGTGCTTAATTCGAGTTCGGCCGGCTATTTCTTTTGGCGAAGGCTGCCGATTTGCCGATTTGCTCTCAGGAAGCGGAGTGCTGCGCGGACCATGGCCACCTGTGCACTGCGGCCTGGCTGAGTTCAAATCGGGAACTCCCCTATGATTTAGAGTTGCGGGCTTTTTTCCTCTGGAAACAGCTGGATTTTTTGTAGCCCGAATTGGTACTTAGAATCCTGGATTGATGACCCTGTCTGGTTGAAGAAGTTGCAGCCCCGAACGATGAAGGATTCCAGTTAGGTTGGCAAGCTTCAAAACACACTTTTTGCTGGTAGATTTCTTCATCCTTAGCTCTGTGTCTATTTATCAATTTTCGCACCCGGACGCGCTGTGAAAGGGTGAGCGCACCCACTCAAGTGCTTTGGCTAAAAACAAAAAGTCAGAGGCATCAAGGACAAGCTGCAAAGAGCGTAGCTCAAAGGGCGTTCCGGTGGTGACAAAGTCACAGTGGACTCCATATGCGGAGCTTGTCCTCTGCGCAACCCTGGCGTGTGCAGTTTGCTGAAAGCAGCTGCAGCGTAACCCCGGGAGCCCTTTTTGAGAGTGCATCAAGCCCAAAATGGCTGGTGCTGGCTCGCTGAATTTAACCCCTTGGAGCAAACGCCTTCCATGCCCTCAGGCTTCCTTGCAACACAGTGGCAAATCGATTCAATGTGCAGATGTCGTTTGAAGTGTCATTTTTGGCCAGTCCACTTAGCAGGTCAGAACAGTGAAAGGATTCGCACCAGCAGGACCCCCGAGCTATTCCTCAACCTTGTTCAAAGTAGCATAGTCATCCTTTTTTGTTGGTGGCTTGCAAAAGGACTCCAAAGGGCACCCCACGCAAATCGGTGCTTTGGGAATTGGAGCTCCGTGGCAACCTCTAAACCCCCAAGCCCCCCCCCCAAACCTTTAACCCCCCCAAACCCTCCAAATCCGAACCTCCAAGCCCCCAAGCCTCGACACCCCGAAACCCCAAAAGCAGCCGCCTCCCACCCGCGCAGTTGGGGCGCCAACCAAGGCGCTGCTCTGCCTCGGCGCCGGGGGCGTGCTGATCCAGGCGGCCGCGGCCCGGCGCAGCAGGAGGCGCCTGGAGCTGCGGCCAGGCGTGGGGACATGGGAGAGGTTCGTGGCTTCCGAAAATGGGGGGTGGTTGGCGGGGGGGAGGGGGGGGGAGGGCGGGGGTTCTCTTTCCCCGAAATGGGAATTCGGCCCCAATCAGTTTTGATCATTGCGCAAAGAGTATGGATTCGAAATGCTTTGTGACAAGTCTTAGCTGACCTCAAACCATTGCCTGAAGGTGTTCGCTTGCTCTGAGTCTTGGGCCAGATGGTGCTCCAAGAGCAGAAGATATGTTTCAAGTGGAGGAAGCCAGCGATGTGCAGACCTTGTAAACCGCGAGTCTCTCCTGATTACTGATACCAGCAACGCGGCAAAGTCCAAGGACTGATAGGTGCAAGAGATGAGATTCTAGTTGAAGCAAAGGAATCAGTCAAAGAATCGAACACCAATCCGACACGTACCCAAACTTAGCGAACACTCCCCCAGTCCAAGATGAGCAACCTACATCTTGAAGTGACCGCAAACCAACATCAAGCCAACCCTAAGACACGACCAACACCACAGCAACTCAACCCCTTTGATCAATCATGGATGCGCAAAAAGAAATGAGTCATGCACATGAGTGGGATTCAAGTCGAATCTGCCCACAACCCAATGCTGGAGCAGCTTCCCTTTGGTGTGTGCCAGTCTTTTTCGGGAAGCCTGTGACCGATTAGTAGTTCATCTTCCATTGAAGAGAAGATTCTGGAGAGATCCGTTGCCTCGAGGCATTGTGGAGTAGAGGCCTCGGCTTGTGCAAAAAATCTGACAAGCTTCTGCGGCTATGAGGACACAATGTTCCATGTTCCTCCTGACATGCAAAGAGAGGGACAGCGCTTGATTGAGAATGACTCGGTAGTCGTCCTCAATCAGAACATGGCACAAGACACTTTCAGTTTCGAAACGGCACAGACTTTTCCTTCGAGACCTTAGTCTCGTGCTCCTCCTCCCCATGACTACTAGCTCAAGTGAAACTGCCCTCATTCACAACTCTGGTTTTCGGGACTCAACCGCCCTGGAACCCTGCCCCCCCCCCCCCCCCCCGGCCTCCCCCCCGAAAGAAAGAGAAAAAGACAAGACACATATCTAAGTAAAGTATATATATATATATTATGATATACATATTATATATATATATATACATATATATATATATGATATCACATATATATTGTATATATATATATATATTATCCACATATTTTTGTAAATATATATTGAAAGATGGAGTGGTTCCCCAGCCCCCTTGTTTGCTGAGCCCTCACCCGCTGGTTTCGCGGTTGAGGGGATCTCTTCCTGCACCACTTCGACCTGGCAGTGGCCTACAACGGCCGCTACCTGGTGGTGAAGCTCAAGGACCCTGGGGAGCCGGGGCCACGTTTTGTGGGGGGTTCCCAGGGCTCCAAAGCGCAGGGCTCCTGTGAAGCAAGAAATCTACGCGCCGTTATTTGAAAGTGTCTGTGTGCCAATTTGGGAGTGGGCATTATTCTTTTTTTCGGGGAAGCTTGGTTTGGGAGTTAGAGGGAAACAAGAAGGAAATCCACCATTTTGGGGGTCCCCAAACAAGACACCCAAACGAAGCCTCCTGAAAAGGGCAGGGTCCAAAAACGAAGCGGCGACACCCTGCTTGTTGCACTACTTGTTTTGAAATTGGGGTGAGGAGGTAGGACTGCGTAGTGATTGGGTGGCATGCTTTTGCCTTGAACACTTGTTGATTGTTGCCACTGGACATTTGCAAGGATTGGCAACAGGTTGACAGGATGCTGCTACAGGTTTGGTGTTTGTTTGATGCAGGCTGGCTGACAAACCGCCCAATTGGGGGCGTAAGTCTTGCGTTGTGGGCGCAATGATGAAGCTACTTGCAGCGAGTCTGCTGCTGCACCCTGTGCATGCGAATCATGCGACTTGTGATGGCAAGAAGCTCTTCGATGCACCATCTGGGGACCACGGGGCTTGGCTGGCCAAGCTAAAGTCCTGGAGAAAGGAGAGGCAGAAGAGCTACACTGGCGAAGTGTACCAGGAACCCTCGCTCTACTGGACTCGTACTTCCTTTTTGCAACCGCAGATCCATGTTTACGACAGGTACCTCTACGACGGCTCCTGGACGGTAGATCGTTACTTGGACGATCTACAGCGCCGCTTTGGAGGCATCGACTCCGTGTTGATTTGGCCCACATACACAAACATTGGCATTGACGAGAGGAACCAGTTTGACTACTACCGAGTCGTGCCCGGAGGTTTGCCGGCGGTGACAAGTCTCACGGAAGCCTTCCACAGGCGAGGCGTCCGAGTTTTGTGGGGCTACAACCCGTGGGACCAGGCCACCCGACAGGAGGGGAGCCACTGGGAGGTCTTAGCTGAGCTCCTGAAGGAGACGGGAGGGGACGGCTTCAACGGGGACACTATGCCGGAGATCCCTCGACAGTTCTGGAGCTCCGCGCTGCAGCGGAGGTACCCCATCGCCGTGGAGCCCGAAGATGGAGGCATCCCCTGCGGGGACAACTGGACCGCAGCGAGTTGGACGCCCCTGGGCTGGGGCTACTTTTCGGAGCTCGCGCCCGACCACATGACCCGCACCTACGACTTCGCGCCAGGCGGGTGCGCGTGCCGACCAAGAAAACCCGTTTCCGGTTGCTTGTTGGTGGGGATGGTCAGGTTGATAGGGATGACCATGACCAGTATCAGGCTTTCCAAGACAATGACCCACATGGCGGTTCCTCAAAATGGCACGGACCCCTTTTGGGTGGCAGTTTTTAGGGAAGCCAACAGGCTGTGGGTCAAACAAATGTACCAAACTGGCACCTTGACACATGGCACCAAAGACTAAAACCTGCGTAACCGCAGCTGCTTAATTTTGAGCCACACCCACCAGGAAACCACCCGTTTCAGGGCTTTGGGCCAGGTGTCGACCGCATCAAGTGGTTGGATACCAAGGGCCGGCACCTCACCCACGTTTGCGACCGCTGGAGCAAGAACCGCACCGCCGCGGTGCAGCTGGCCTTCTTCAATGGCGACGGCTACGAGGTGGGGGCCCGAAACTAGCAGCAGACCAACACACACACAATAAATACACACATTATACAAGTATATATATATATACACAACTTGTACAAACATGTGTATATATATATATATACACAGATGTGCATATGCAAATGCAAACCCAACTATGTTGTGAAAGCCCCATCCCGAAAATGCTCCCCCACCCCCTTCCCCCGGCCCAATTTCGGGAAACACCCAGGTCTGGGAGAACGTGTGGGGCCTTTTCAACCGCATCACCGACCGGGATGCCGAGCTGGTGCGGCGCGCGGGAGCGCTTCTGCGCTGGGCAGGGGACAGGAACTTCACCCATGATTTCGAGGCAGGGTTTGGACAAATATGGCTGTCCAATGGTATGGGGTAGGTGCACCACCCATTTTAGTCTATTTTAGTGGGGATTGGCATGTTCACTGGGGGTACGGGACTTTGACCCATGGCCATATGTCTGAACATATGAGAAGCAAGCACGCCCTTTGCCCCTTCAAGGGAAACCGAAAGCAGGTGGTGTAAAGCTTGAACAATGGTGGTTCGAGCGTGTCAGTTGGAACCTGGTTACCCTTCAAAAGGGAGACCAAATGGAGGTTGTCGAAACAGGCATATATGTTTAACCAGCGGCTTGGCCCAACCTTGAGGAGTGGGTGCCACACGCACCCGAGGCCACCTGGCCTGAGCAGGGCATCTTTGCCTCAAGGTTCCAATCAGGAGGCGACAGCTTGTGGCTCCTCATCAACAAGGGCTCCAATGCCAAAGTGACGATGAAGAGCTCTGAGTTCCAGGGCTTTCGCTTCTACGACCTCTACCACGGGCTCAAGCTGTCAGGAGCCCAAATTCCGTTGAGCCTCGAGGGCGGCAGCGTCTCGGCGCTGCTGGCGACCAAAAACTCCGCCAATCTGCCGTCCGCGGAGTTTCTGCGGCAGATGCGAGCCATGACCGCACAGCCCTTGGCGTCCATTTCGCCAAAGTGGGAGGTGGGGTTCTTGGGAAGGTCAAACTGGACAAGATTTATGGGTTTCGTTTCCTCTTGGAGTGCCACCCTGAGAGGTGCTACAACAGGAGATGGACCCGATGCTCTCGCCGCAGAGATTCGAGCCTTCCCGGGCTCCACCTGGCATGGCTTCTTCGCTGAAAGCTGAACTTTGACCCTGTCCCAAACCTGGCGCATTTGTTGGCCAAGGTCCCACAGAATTGAAAGCAAAGCTGTAGCTCCATGTCCTTTGGGCTCAGGTTTTGCTGCCCAGGGCCCAGTTCAACTTCTCTGTGAGCGGCACAGAGTACGAGGGCGGATGCTTGGCAGGGGACGATCCCCATGGCGTTTGTTGCAGTGGGCACTGCGAGAGCAATGGCACGCACGACTGCCAATGCGGCACCCGGGGCTCTGCCTACTTTGGGGTGGACGTGCAGTTCCCCTGGGAGTCGCGGCCGGACCGGAACCATCGGCAGGCGCTGAACTTAGGCCCGCTGCTGATGGATCGAGATTTGGTCACCAACAAGGACTTCCTGAGCTACCTGAACGCCAGCGGCTACCATCCATCCGACGACTTCAACTTCCTGAAGCACTGGCGGCATGGGGCGCCCTTGCCAGGGGATGAGGAGAAGCCCGTGGTGAACGTGGGGCACGAGGAGGCCAAGGCCTACTGCAACTTCTACGGCAAGCGCTTGCCGCACAGCTACGAGTGGCAGTACGGTGCCCAGGGCCTGGATGGCCGCCGCTACCCCTGGGGCAACACCTGGGACCCGGAAGCGGTGCCCTCGCCGGGCCACGACCCCGAGAAAATCCGCCAGCACCCCAAGGGCGTGTCTCCCTTCGGGCTCCAAGACATGGTAGGCAACCGGGTTGGGCCAACCCCTAGTTCAGAAACAACAACTATTGTTTAAACCATCTTCCTGTGGCTTCCCTTTAGAGGGGACCAGATTGGGTTGAACTTTTCTTGGAACCATCTCCAGGCAACGTGTGGCAGTACACCGACTCCTTCCGCGACGAGCATACTCGCGCAGTGCTGCTGCGGGGCTCCAGTCGCTACAACCCCGTGGTGTCCGATAACTTCCCAGCAGTCCATCAGAGCACCAACTGGTACTTCCCAGCGGCGCGGGAGCTCGGGAAGCACTCCAAGTACTTCCTGATGAGCAATAGCTATGAGCGCGCCGGCACCCTCGGCTTTCGCTGCGCGGCGGACGTGATTGGGGGCCCTCTGGCGCCTCACCATTTCCGGACCGAGGCCGTGCAGTTCGTGTGAGCGGAGCAACGGTCCGACGCGCAAAGGTGCCGTGTTGCACAGATGTTATTTTCCTCGGGCACTTTCCAATGTGGGTAGACACTTTGAAAGGCTCACATCCCGAGCAGAGCTACCGTCCAACTAGGCAGAATACCTGCACATGTTTGGTTGCATCTTCCAAAATCCGTACCACAATGCTTCCAGACAATGCTGACTCGGAGCCAGCTAGATGGCTCAATATCTTTCTGCACACCATGCACACCGCAAAAAGAAAGGCAGAGGCATCGCGACTGATACATCTTTACTTCCGCAAGATGCGGAGGGAAGGCAATCAGAGGCTGGCGGGAACTGGGAGTTTCCTCACCTTCAACCTTCACATTTGGTTTCAGCAATCGAGGAGCCCAAGCACAGAAGGTCACCCTCCATATGCACCGGCCCAGGATTCGCTCCTTTCCTGCCTCACCAATACCGCCCCCTGGCACGACCAGCTCGCGCAGGAGGTGCCTTCCCGCTTGGACGTGTTTCAGGGTGGAGATGGTGTCAACAACTTGGAGAGTTCACAAACTTGCCACGTTGGCGAGGTTAAGGTGAATCACGAGGATCAAGACTTGACGGGAAAGGGCAGTTCCTGAACTTGGCCTCAGGGGTCTCATTGATTTGATCAGTGGCTTTTGACTGCGCCGAGTTTTTGTCTCGCACCTTGCGATTCGAACCTGTGCTGGTTGCAAGGGCGATGCAGACGCGCAGCTGGCCCTAGCGTTGCAGCTGGAGCAGCGCGGGGAGCTCGGATAAGATTCCACCAGTTTCTGGTGACATCGGTGTGCCATGTGTTGGCTTTTCTGTAGGGTGCAACGCTTTTCCTAGGGCAGACGGGGACTGATGGAGAGTCCGCCGGACGTTGCGATGCGCAAACTGCCAATGTGCAGTCTGCACTGCAATGTCAACTTCGATTCTCTTTAGATGAATTTTGACCAAGGGGCGGTTCCCGGTGTGGGGAATTGTTTCGTACGGGGACTCCAGCGAACCTCAAGGGTTTCTGGACGAGTTCCGATTTGGGGATTGTCTTAAGCTCGTGCCCTGGGGTTTGCAACCAGGACACTGCACACTAGCAGCCCCAAAGTGAAACCATCCTCATGCCTTCCCTTTGAAGGCATCAGCAACTTATCGAGTGTTTGAATTGCCAACCCTGACCACTGATACTGTACTCCTTTCTTGGCAGACCATTTTACAGGCTGAAGCTACGCTCCTGTCAGTCCGGGGGACCCATCCCTCCCATTTTCTCAGGCGACGCCAAGCCGCAGGAGGCATCAGAGCTCCCGCATTCGCAATCGCCAGGATGGCATGACTCCTCCATTTGTTTAGTTCAGCTACCTGCTTCCAGGCCTTCAAGAATCAAAGGATTCAGAGCTGTACCCTTAGGGTCGTACCACTCCGGACACGAGGATCTCTTGGAGGAGTTAGCGGTGTAGAGGGGCGACATGGCTCTCGAACCCTTGAAAGTTGGTGCGCGGCCCATTGCAACGTTGTTCCTTATGCAAAGTTTCATGGGACTTCAACGAGTCATGTATTCGTTCATGCGAGGCAATGAGGATATCCATTTGAATGAGACAATAGTATGAGCTTCGCACCATTCCGCGAGCAAGCTCAAGACCTACGCTATAAGGCACTTAGATGGAAAGACCGGCTGCATCAATAGCGTGTACTGCAGCAAGCTTCAAGCCGCCCACATCCTGCTGAGTATCATACACAGTACTTGCTTGAGGATACAGGTGACTATTTCAAGTTTGCACTGTTTTGAAAGGACTCTCGCTGAGTCACTGCCATAGCACTTGGCTTGAGGAAGGCACAGTGCGCTTCAGCCCAGGAATACCGAAGGTGAAAGAGTGCTACGTTTGTTGTGTGTGTGTGCGCGTGTGTGCGGGTCATCAGTGTGTGTGTGTGTGTGTGTGTTTTTGTTTGTTTGTTTGGTTGGCTGGTTGGTTTGTTTGTTTGTTTGTTTGTTTGTTTGTTTGTTTGTTTGTTTGTTTGGTTTGTTTGTTTGTTTGTTCGGTTTGGTTTGGTTTGGTTTGGTTTGGATTGGCTTGTTTGCTTGTTTGTTTGCTTGCTTGCTTGTTTGTTTGTTTGGTTGGTTGGTTTGTTTGTTTGTTTGTTTGTGTGGGTGTGTGAGAGCCATGCTGCACGTCTCTTTGCATTGGCAGCCATGTGCGCTTTGTGATGATTTTAGGTACTTAGTTTCATCCTGTAGAATACTTAAGAGTTCGCTTGTCTCGCTTTGAGCAAAGCATGGCTTTGAGTCTTTCCGGGTTTTCTTTACGACACCGATCAGCTCGTCCAAAGCTGCACCTGCCCTTTTGGAGTGGCTCACCGATGTGGGGAGTCAGCGGGAAGTTCTGCCAGGTCATCCGTTGGCTGCGCAAGTCCGCGGAGCAGGGGCACGCCGAAGCACAGGCGAGGGGAGTTAGCTGCTCGGAGTGGGCCGTGTCGGGCTGTCAAAGCTTCGGATCAGCGCCCTTGCCGGTTCGGTCCATTTGAAGAGACACCAGTATGGCACCAATGATTAGGGTCCCTTGTTTTGACAAGAGTCCACAGATTCCTCCTTTACCATCTCATCTCCTCGCATGCCATGCTGGGGGAAGAGGTGTGTGACATGAATGCGTGTGCTACAGGTGGGTGTCCTCCTGGTTTCCTTTCAGCTTCCTTTTGAAACCAGCGACTTTCAGCAATTGGCCCTTTCCTTTCTGGCGAGTTCCCTTCAATTTTTCCGACGGGTTTCCTGGTGAAAACTGCTTCCGATGACTGCAAGCCGACTCCGAGCTGCGGAGCTTTGGATGGCAAAGTCGGCAGGTCCCAACGAGTCCCTCCCCGGTTTGAGGTGCCGAGAAGAGGCTCGTTTTCAGCTTTCCCTGGTTGGATTGAAGGGCGTCTTGTCTTTCAGGTCTTTATCGAGAAATGGATGGCTGGACCACCCTGCTACCCAGTTGCCCAGTGGCACCTGGTTTCCTTTTTTGTTCGTTGGAACTGCGGCCCCTTTTGAAGCAAAGGGCAACAAGAAGTGGGTGCCTCTTGTCCCACGGCTGATGGCTGGGCTATCCCCAGGCCTGCCTTGGCCTGCGCCTGGGTGAGGAGGGGCTGAGGTGGCTCCACGACGCTGCGCCTCGGCGAGGGCGCCGCGGGTTCTCAGCTTCCGGAAAAAGCCCTGTGGTTTCCAGGGCATTCCAGGGCTTTTGTATTTTTTGTAGCCGCGAACCATCGAAGTCAAAGGAAAATCAGCAGCTCCCAGAACTCAGACATCTGGTGTCAGTGGATTTTCGGGCCTTTCGCCCGGGATTCGGCTGTGATATGGGACTGGGGACCTCCAAAACCGTTGCACATGAAACCCCAAATGAGCAACCCGGGTAGATGAAGGCCATCTATAGCTGCGGCCGCCGGGCAGACCATGTTAGTACCGGGTTTTGATGATGACTCACACGCTGTCTACGGGTCCGTCGGATTCGGCTTCGCGGCCGAAGGCGCTGCAGGGCCACCGGGCCGCCCAGCGGCAGCTGGCGGTGTGCCTGCTGAAAAGCGGCGCCAGCGGCGAGGCGCAGAAGTGGCTGCGCCGGGCCGGGGAGGCCGGCGCGGGGGTGGGGCGATCCAAGTCTTTGTTTGCACGGCCCTCTGTTGAAACGACCTCCTGTTGGGTTTTTTTTGTTTTGAAGGGTGGGGGGTCTGATTGGCACGTTTACACAAAGCTATTGTTTGAACAACAGGGACCAGGATTCTTGGAGCACATTTGGCCCGACCGTGGGCAGGGGTTGAGAGTGCGTCAAGGGGCGTGCTGGGGGGTGGGGGGTGGGGGGGGGGGCCAATGGCGTCGAAATGAAGCCAAGATGAAGTCATTGGGAAGTTAGCTTGGATACACACGCGGATAAAGGAGATGAACCTGGCAGTTTAAGGGATGAAGGCTCTTGATCTACCACCCATTCTTTCGATTTCTGATCATGCAGGTTCCAAAATCCAGTTTTCCTCTTTTACTCCTCTTTGGCTATGATGCTCATTGGTCGCGGCATTGGCGCCGCTGACTTCATTGGCAGCGGCGCTGGCGCCGCTGACTGGCGCGTAACCCACTAGCCTGTTGAAATGGGGGTGGTTGACTTAGCTCGTGCAACGGCATGCATCGCTTGCAAGATAGCCTGCTTTTTGGCTGCCGGGTATAGTGGGCGTTTCAGGTTTGAAAAGCGGACATGCTTGTGCAAATGCTTGCCGGGCGTCAGCGGCTTGGCCAAGACTAACCACACCTTATCCAAATTCCATGTCAGTGTTTGCAGGGAAGTAGCCTATTTGGCTTTCCGCCTCAAGCAGGCTTCAAAGCAACGAGCACGGTGTGTTCGAAATGTTGCACCAGTTTCAGTCACCGTGTCCGGGAGGAGGATGATCTGGAGGCGATCGAGCTGCTGGTGGTGTGCTTGGTGCGTGCCGGGAGCATGCAAGAGGCAGGACACAGACGTTGTGACGTTTTTGTTTTTGTTGGCCGTTTGTTTGTTTGTTCGTTTGTTTGTTTGTTTGTTTGCTTGCTTGGTTGCTTGCTTGCTTGCTTGCTTGCTTGCTTGCTTGCTTGCTTGTTTGCCACGGTTCTGGCAGCCGCGGGGCTCAGGAGTGGTACTAGTGAGGAGTTAGTGTAGATTGCATGAAGAACGATGACCGATATACTTTATATTTTCGGATTTGTGTGTGTGTGTGTGCTCTTTCGCTTTTTGCCTTGGGCCTCTTATGTTGCATGCGTTCCTTTTCGGCTCCTTCATGGTGCATGGCTTGTTGGATTGCCCAGTCTCTCCAAGAACGCGGTATTTGCCTCACTCAAAACCATCCTCAAGCAGCCCTAGACCTGCGTCTCGGCAACTACCTTAAAAGAAGTCCAAGCCAATACAATCCACCAATTCGCCTAAACCAGGCTGAGATTGATCCAAACGCAAGCCAATCTCACAAGCCCTTCCACGACCAAGCCACACCAAGCCAGCTTGAAATAGCTCCAATCCAACGGGGGTTTCATTCAGCTGCACCGGAAGAAATAGCGAATGGCCTCTCTGAAAGTGAGCGTTCAAATCGCCGCAGAGTCTGGCGAAACTCCTGTTTCAATCTCTCGTATGGCCTTTGACCGATTGTTGGCAGACTGGCTGTACCTAGACAAAACGAGAAACGTCGCATGTCAAATGACATGTATCCGCCCAGATGCGAAAGCCCTCACAACTCCAGATTGCCCACTTAAGGAAGGGCATACGAACCAACTGGCACCAAGAAAGATTGAACGTGGTCCCGCCCGCACAAGGCTTGCAAGCTTTTGTTCGGGGTGGATGAAGCTCAGGTGGAGTCCCAACCATATGGCTGTGGTTGTCAAAACCAATGGGATCCCATTTTGGGATAGGTGCACCACCCATTTTAGTCTATTTTAGTGTATTTTAGTGGGGATTGGGATGTTCACTGGGGGGTCTTCAGGGTTTTTAACCCCACGTTTCAGTCAAAACCGCAAAGCGCCTTGGGAGGCGCTCTGCTGGTGCCTGCGTGGTGCGGAGCTTGGGTCTGCGGACCTGCAGCACCGGGCAGGGCTGCACCTGTTGGCAGGCGCGCTCGGGTAAGGGCCAAGGGCGCGCGAAGGAGTCAACAGAAGCAAGAGGCAAGCCCAGAAAGCTGCGGGCGGTACACATGAAGCAAGCGGCGTTCCAAATAAGCAATTCTGCCCTTCCGCGCTGGCGGGACCGCTGGAACTAAGTATGTGGCATCCCGCTCAACTTACTTCCCAGAGGGGTCTGTACCGATTTTCTAAAATGACAGGGTTGACCATGGAAAAAGGCATGCGTTCCAGCCAGGCACAAAACAAAACTCTGGGCCTGAAATATGATCTTCGCACACCAATTAAGGAAAACAAGTATCTGTTTTTAAGATCGGGGGTTGTCCGAACACTCTGGAAATTATGTTTGGAATGTTGGTCACTGCTTTTTAGACCCAACTGCGTGCTCATAAGTCAAGTGAACTTGCCAGCCCCGCCCGTTTGGGGGGCTGCGGCGCCCAATTTTCATATTGTTTTTCATTTGCTATTGGTTTCTGCAAGCACTGGTAGGAAAGCGGGTTGGGCAACATTGAGCAGAACAGCGTGGCCCCTGCGCAAGGATGACACGCACACATCGAGAAGTGTAACAAGTTTTTTGGGCATCGCTTGGGCACCTTTCACTTGCAAGGAGCCCTGTTCCTTTTGTGAGCTGCCTCGGCATTTTTCCATTTCAGGGTAGCCCATTGAGCGAGTCCTTTGTGGGAAGCCTGGCCCTTTGAGCAGTTCCGTCCAGGTTTTTTTACTAGCATTTCACTTGTTTGTTGCAGAACAGAATTCTTTCGCACTGGGCAACATTTATTGGCTGTGAATGGGGAGGGGAGGTTCCAATCCCGAGTTGCAAGACTTCGCCAGGAGAGGGCTGCGTGAAAGACCAGGCCGGGCGGGGAGATGGGGAGGCAGCACTGGTGTGATGAGTCTTGTGCGCAGCCCATCTTCAGAGGGCATGCAGTTCTGTTTTCCAGGTTTACCAAAAAGCGTCGTTGTTGGCCGATGCCCGCTTTGGCCTCGGGCCAACTTCAGAACTGAGGCTTGACCAGGCTAGGGCGTGGATTGCTGGATTGGTCCTCTTTGCTGGGCCAAGATTTGACCCTCTCAACATCACGTCGCAAGTTCTAGGTTCAAAGGGAACCCACAGCTTCCGATTCGACAGAGCCCAGAAACCGTCAAGATGGTGGGGCTCGGGCTGGGTCAACCTTCGGCAACACGTTTTCGCCCTTAACTGAAAAATGCAAACAACTAGATTCAATTTTTAGGTTTGGCGATGAACATTGACCAAGCAGTGCTGGCGCTTGGCGTCTCATTTCCTGCGAGGCGGCTGCGCTGAGTTGGCTGCGCCGCGCTGCGGAGCAGGGCCACGCGGCTGCCCAGAACAACTTGGGGGTCATCCTGGCCGCAGGACTTCCGGAGGATTCAAACCGGCTGGGCCTCGGGATATTTTTGTTGAAAAGGAACGCACCGAAAATAAGATTGAACAGGACGTCGCCTTCTAGAATGCCTTGCTTTGGGCTTTTCTTGCCGGATTGCGACGCCTTTTAGGTGGATGCAAAAGGAATCGTAGGATGAAACCCACCGTTTGGATAGGTCCATGATCTGAGGAAGATCCCCATTCGCCGTACCCAAACCTCTAAAGAACACCGCCCCATGGCCTTCTCCAGGACTGTTGGGCACCGGCACCACAACCAGAATCTAACCTCCCGGTCAATGTGCCAGCACCATTTCGTGCAACACATCCTTCCCAATGAGACAGCACCTCGCTTGGCTCCAGGGCTTGCGGGCCCTGTGGACCTCCCTGCGGCGCAGCACCACTTCGCTGCCAGCACCTCGGACTTGGCGCGGCGCAACGCCGCGGTGGCGGCTTCCTCCGCCAGCGGGTCGGAAGCGCAGCGGCTGGAGCTCAGCGCGGCACAACGCCAGACGCTGCAGCTGCTGAGGGCAGAGGCACGGGGATGAGGGATGCGGGTGGATTGTGATGGGTTGCGGAAGGGTTTTAGGAGACGTGCCATGGGTTTGCTGCAGGTCTGCGAGCTCGAAGCAGATGTGCAGCAGGAGGAGGATGTGAAGAAGGAGGTGCCGTGCAAGGAAATCAATCCACGGTTCCTGTATGGCCCATTTCTTGACTTTTTTGCTTATACCTCTGGTGTTTGCTTTACCCTTCGCAGAACTTGCGCAACAGGGCACCTGTGGTCGGCGAGTTTTCGCCTCCTGTGCCTCATGCAAGCCTTGGAGCACACCAGGTGCAGAAGCTTGCGGCGCTGCTGCAGCAGCTAGACAGCGCCGCTTCCACCGCGGCGAGCGGGACAGGAACGAACGGCAAACACGAGAGCGGGGCAAGCGTATCGAGACCGAGCGGCCATGGTCGGGGCGACTCCGGCCCAAAGTCGGCCACACCAAAGCGTGTCAGCGAAGCCGGTGCCACAAGCGCCCTGCACCGCGGGGAGCCCTTTCTCCTGCTGGATGGGATGCCCTGGCTCAGCGGCCAGCAAGTGCTGGAGTTCATGCCCCGCTTGATGGGCGCCTGCGGCAAAGACGTGGTCTCCTACGAGATCCAGGGCCAAAGCGTCCAAAGTGTCCAAAGCACGGCGCCTTTGGCCCACTACATCCAGCAGATCCAGCGCAGCGAGCCGGGATCTGCCTACTTCATGATGACGGATCGGCTTCTGCAGCGGCCCGAGCTGGAGGATCTGGTGGCGATGCCGCGAGGGCTATCAGGAGCAGGGAATGTATGAGAGAGGAGTCTCCCTGGGCCCTCCTTGTGGCTCGTTTTGTGATTCTGTGGTTGTAGGCGTGTCCTTTCCAGCGTGCAGGGTCACAAATTTGAGACAAGACCAAGCCCGAAAGAAGTCGCCCAGGCCATGAAGGTCAGGTCGCTTTGGAGCTGAGACAGACCCTGAAAGATAATTAGTTACTAGTGTCTTAGTTGGTTTCCTTTTGGTTCCCCGGCCAGATCAGCGGCCTACCTCCCCGCCCGCGCCTCAAAGCCACAAGAGGAGATCCGGAGCGCGGCGCGCGGCTTTCCGGGCGGCGCTGGCTGAGCATCGGCGGGGAGGGTGCCAAGACGCTGCTGAAGCGGGACCCCGGCGCTAGCTGGCACATGCTGGTGCTCGGCCCGGAACCCGAGTTGCCGAGTTGCCGAGTTGCTGGGTGCTGGGTGCTGGGTGGTGGTTTACTGTGGGCAAGGTGCCTGAAACCGGTGCCTTTGGGAAGTAGAACCAACTCACGCAGATGCCGTCGTCACAAGTTTCAAACCAGGACGGTTGCGAAATTCCAGGTTGTAGCTAGTATGGTTGCATTTGTCTTTTTCAGCAAGAGACGTTGGTCACCCCATCGCTCCAAGGCCAGCCGGGCACTAACGACCAACATTGTCTTGGTTCATTGACTCAGACGCTGTGCAGTAAACACCCGAGCCGAACATGGTACCGCGAGGTACTGCAAACATCAGGCAGGACAGAGCTGCAAGAGAAGCACCTGCACCCCCCGTTCTGGGTCGGCGGCAAGTGGAAATGAAGATAAGGGTTCAAAGTTCCAACCATGACGGGCCAGACGCGTTTTGGCTTGGTGCCTGTGACGGCTGTCGAGATACTTGCACCTAGCCTGAGCAAACCCTTAGTGCCCGGGGCACTACAGTGATTGGACCCAGGAGTGGATGCTGTCTCTGTTCGCGTGTCATGAGCTTTGGGTTCCGTTGTTGGCATCTTGAGACCTCACTCTCCACTTTCCCTGCACAAGTTCCGCCCTAGCACGCTTGTGGCACCAAGACACCAAACACCAAGCGCAACAGTACACTGGTCATTCTCCAGATAGGTGCCAATTTTTGGTTCTTTATTCCCTAACTTACATGCACCCAAATTGGATGGTCTGAAAATCTGACCCCCGGAATCACATCTCAGTGTCCGTGCTGCTTCGAGGCCGCGCCCGCTGGGCCTTGCTGCCGCCCGCGGGGATTGCGACTGAGGGCTTCCAGGGCTCCAGCGAGGACCCGGGGCCCGGGAGGGGAGGCAACATCCGGCCCCCGCCTTCCTGAAAGGCTCTCAGTTGACTCACCCTCTCTTAGAACGTCCGAGGGTTGCCCTCAATTTTTCCGGGGGGGTGGCCTTTGGTTTGCGCAGGGCTTGATTGATTTCGGGCTTTGTCAGTTCGGTTACCTGGAGCAGTTCGCCAGGACGACGCCTTTGCTGGATGGCAGGAGGTTTGGCTGGCCACGCAGGAGATGGGGGAGGCGTGTGCTGGACAGAAATGGGAGGAGTGATTGCTGCCTGGAAGACAGCAGACAGCATTGCAGCCAGTAGCATGTGCAACCTGGTTCGTTCAGCTCTGTCCGTTATCGTAGCCACCCACGGCTTTTCCAACTCAGAGCAGCAGGAGCCATGAGAGGGTGACCCATGGACCCTAATGGCCTAGTTGGATGTTTGCGGCGAACGCGTGTGCAGACTTGAGAGAATCGGCAAAGGCTCGCGTGCCTTTGAGTGGCACGGGTTGTGGCCAAAGCGCCACGGCGATTTGGTTTTGCTCCCTCGTCTTTGCGCTAGGTGATGGTGGTGCCTCCAGGCTGGTGGTACCAGGCAGGTTGCCAATTGGTGCCTTCCCCGTGAATGGGAGAAACATCTACCAAACTGGTGCTGGATTTTGCCCAGCAAAAGTACGGCTTCATGTTGGAACATCCCTGGCTGAAGATGTGGTCATGGACCAATCCACATTGAATCTAAGGGGCCCACAAAAGAAGCCGCCAGGTGCTCCTGGAGGATCGAGTTCTGTCCATCACCGCCCAGTGTCTCGATCCAGACTGCGAGTGATGCTTCCATGATATCGCAGATCGCACTTCGCATCTCATTGTGGCGGACCCCCCCCCCAAGAAAAAATAAGATAAAATAGGGGCTCGGCCCACTTTTGGGTTCCGTGTAAATCTGCGGACATCTTGCACAATGTTGCTTTCCGGAAGATACAGCCTGCGTTCCATCTGCAAGTCCAGGGCATGTGAAATCTGACACCTGTTTCACCCCTCCTGGCTTGGTGTGAATCTCGCTGGATCCTGCTGGTTCGGAGATTCTGCTTTGGTTGCACGGCAGATGTCATACCAAGATATAGCATTAGCAAGGAGACCAAGAGGACGCCTGCAATTTGGACCCGTTTATCTCTAAAAGAAGAAAAGACGCCCGCGTAAACCAACATGGGTGTGTCTTCTTGTGAGGGTTCCCTGAAAGCGACACCCGAAAGGAAGCCGAGCAGTCTGGTGTTCTCTAAGGTTCCTGGCGCCCGAGCAGCTGCCCAGGCGAGATTGGGACCCTTTTCACATGGAACCTGACGCAACAGGGGGGTCCTGGTTTGGAGCATTTTCCTTTCAAAGGGAAACCCGACCGTCAGGTTCCATTTTGATTGGTGGGAGGGACTCTGGTTTCTGCCTTCCCTGGAAGATCAGGACAACTGGGTGTCCTCTTTTGTCCCATGGCCGGCAGGGATAGGAGGGAGTTGCTTAGGGGAGGAGCGGAAGCCGCGTGGCTGAGATACATCCGCAGCCGGAGGCCGGAAGCCCAAGCGGAGTCGGGCAAGGCGGGATGGCAGCGGCGCTGGGTGCATTTGAGTGCATTGAGGTGTGGAAGCGGCTCTGTATTACATTTTGGGCGGCTGCCTTGAGGATTCGCATCGATCGAGGCGGACTGAAATTGATGGGGATGGTGTGAAGGGCTGACCCCCTCATCATTGAGTCAGTGTGGCATCAAATGGGCAGCCGCGGCAACGATCAGTTTATCTCAATAGTGCTTCTAGATTTGGGCTTTGCCATCCTCCCTCATGTGAGCACCTGTCTTCTTAACCCCTCCTCTCCTTTCTGTCTTCCCTTTCAGTTTCTCCCTCTCTTTTTCTTTCTTCTTCTTCTCTCCCTCATGCAGATCTTTGCACAGTTGCGCCAGACGCCCACCCCCCCATCATGCGAGGCTCTGGAGCTGACATCAGCCATGCGCAGCGAAAAGTGCGGGGCGGTTGGGCTGCCGGTGGGAGGCAGGGAGACTCCCCGACCAACTTGGCATCGGGGACCTGGTGGGGATGCCCACATTCCAGGTTCAAGTCGACGTCCACACACAAGTGAAGCACCAAGAACACAAGCAACATACATGGTGGGAAGCAAGGGCAAGAGGGTTATGAAGGCGCAGAAGGAGAGATCCGCTTTGTCCGATGAGAACACCTCTCCCAGAAGGTCTTCTTTGGGCGTGCCGTGCACTCCGATGGCGCGATCTGTCCGGGTTCTTCGGCACATTCGCAAGCAGTCTGTCGGTTAGGTATCCCTTGTGAAGTGCACAGTGAGCAGCCGACATTTTGCACTTTTCACTTAATTACCGGTGGACCAACTGAGAGAGCCGGGACGGGGTTTTGATTTGGGCTTTTGCGGGCCGGAGACCTTGCGGCTCAGCAGAGAATGAAGATCCAGGCGTGAGCCATGGCGCCCAAGGCCGGGATGTGCTGACGTGCCGACGTGCCGACCTGACAGTGGCCAGTTCCATGTGATTGGACAAAATCATTGCCATGTACTGTGAGGGAGGACACGCGGGGACAGCCCAAATTCTCCCAAACAAGCAGGGGGCCACACCCATTTTGTCCTTTTGGCGAAGCATTCGTAATTTCGTCCGAACCTCATGTGCGACGGCCATCTCCTAGCAGTTTGGGCTAGCTTAGCTGGGTGCTAAATCACCAAGTGTTTTTTCTTCTCCCAATTTTCACAAAGGGAAACCGGCAGAAGCTGGGCTTCAGCGCATTTTCCCCCCTGTTCCATCTTTCGAGTTGCCCAGATGCGAGCAAGGGTTTGGCCTCCAGGCGTTGCTGGCCGGCCTGGCCAGCCTGGTGCTGGCGAGGGGCACCTTCCTGGCGCGGGAGGAGCGGCGTTGGTGGGCTCTTTGATTGGCTTCATGTCATCAAGAACAGAAGCTGTGCATGCCCCGACTTGGAGTAGCCAGCCCGTTCTGGGCCAATCTGTAGGTGAGCCATGAAATGCGTTGGCCGGTTTGGGCGTGTAGCAGTTTCTGGCTTGACACGTCCTGTTGAGGTGTGTTCGAAGGATGATATCTCTTCTGGTGGTGGTGGTGGTGGTGGTGGCGGTGGTGTGAGTGTGTAATTGGCTATTATTTGACCTCAGTCTGCGAAGACATGACGGGCACCCGCTGACAAAGCTTCGGTTGTACCCAGGAGCCCTTGATCCTGCCGCTGCCCAAAGAGCGGGAGCGACACCAGCAGGCGCTTGTTTCGCGGAGAAGATTGCTCGTAAGATGCACGGAGCCCGGGCTTTGGGAAAAGAAGACTCTTTGTCGCCTCTGAGCCTGACACATGCATTTCTGAGTTCCACAGCCCCAGGCCTCCACTGACGGAACCGCGTTGCCAAGCTGATTGAAAAGATGTATATGTGACATGTGCTTGTACCCGTCTTGAGTTTATGTCTTGGCTAGTTGCAGCATCTTTGCCGTCATCTTGGAACACAGCTTGGAGCCTTTAACACCTGGTGCGCCCCGCAGCAGCTTGGCAGGTGTTGGACAAAGATAGGCAAATTGAAGCCTTTGAAGACAAGAGCTACCAAGCGCTGCTTGGCTCGGTCAACGCCCACACTTTGCTGGCAACGGTATGTCAATGTGTGGGGCGTTGGGATTGGTTGCCGAACTTGCTATATCTGAGCAATCCCTCTTCCTTACTTGGTTTCCAGTGCTGGATTGGCACCTTCACGTTTGGTTTGTCCTCCGGTGGTGAGGATCGATCTTCCCCTAGAAATGTTTATGCTAGGAACGTAGCCCAGCTTCAAATCGCAACATCGCAGCGCAACAGTACCAAGTTGATGGGTGCCGGCCACCAAACTCCCTAATTAAATTGGAAGGGGCGTTCAATTGCTTTTTCTGGATTATGATATATTATGATCACTATTTTTGCTTTCGTGTTCATTTGTCTAGGACTGTTGCCCTCCACCCTTTAGGACCTCGTCCCCCAGTTTGCGTTCTTCCCCGTTCTGGTCTGCGTTCCCAATCCGACCCGGTTGAGCTGGCTGGCGGAAAGATGCTGCTTGACCCTTTGAGGCATCCTTTTCAATTCGACGAAATAGACTTGCGGGGTTCACCTTTTGTCCAAGGCAGTCAAGATCAACCCAAGAACGTGTTCGGAGAGTCAACGGGTGTTCCCATTTTTAGAAGCTGGTTTCAAGGAGAACACGGTGCTTCCCATACTTCAATCCGAGATGGGTGAGTGCTTTTTGAGGCTACCCTTTTGAAGGGTGGTTTGGGAGATCAAAAGGCAAACCATTTAGCTTGCTGGTTCTCAGCAGAGAATGAGGGAATGACCCCTGTAAGCCATCCCCTGTGTTTCCTTATTCGGGAATCCCCTTCCGGTGCATTCCCTGAACACCCGGGCTCGGTCATTCCCTCCCTGGTGCACCAGCAGTTGTTGGGACATCACTACTGTGGATGGACGAACTCCATTTCGCACCACTGTTCAGACTCCCTGGAATGATGGTTCCCCTGCAGCTGCCAGCTTCCAGACTGGCAGCTCCAGACTGGCAGCTCCCTTGCAAAAACCAACTTAAACCCTGGTTTATTTCCCATGGTTTCAAAGTGGATGGTTCCCCCGTAAATACCCAACAAACCTTATGTTGTTTTTTCCACCATGGGATTCCTTTCAGGGTGCCGCCTAAGAGGATGGATGGATCTCGCGGCGCCATCGCTCCGCTCACCTCGCTTCGGGCGTCCCCAGGACGGTGGCGGAGCTGCGGAGCGCC